AGAGGGGAAGGGGTAGAGGGGAAGGGGAAGGGCATACACAAAGAGTTAAGAAGTGCACCAGCTGCACCCGGAGGGGGCGGGGGGCGGGGAGCGGGGGGGAAGGCACGCGTGGGTATGTGTGTGTGCGTGTATGGGGCGGGGGGAGCGATGGCGAGGTTTTAAAACATCTGTGTGGTACCTGTGAAACTCCTCGGACAGTCCGGGAGCGGGAGCCTCCTCAATGATCTTTTGATGGCGCCGCTGTACGGAACAGTCTCGGTCAAACAGATATACGGCACCACCGTACCGGTCGGCAAACACCTGGGTGCGTGAGTGGGGTTTGCGGCGTGGGAAGGGGCGGAGTGGACGGGTGGCTGAAGGAGCTACGAAAAGCTGAGTGCGGATAAGGTGTGTATGTATGTATGTATGTATGTATGTATGTATGTATGTATGTATGTGGGTTCTTTGTATGCGGGATTTGCGGGGCCTATGCAAGATGGGGGTTCGCCGTACCACAAGACATGCGTACAGGGGGTGAAAAAACATACAGACAGACCCACACAAACACGTACGCTTGTGCAGCATCGACGACGGAGCTTCGTGAAAAAGCAGCAGCATAATTGCTTGCGAATGGAATGTACCGCGCAAATCGCGAGGTACAACAAGATGGTTGTGTTGTACTGTGCCGTACAAACCTGCACTTCCACGTGACGTGGCCTCTGGATGTATCGCTCCAGCAGCAGCCTGTCATCGTTGAAGGCGGCGAGGGCCTCACGGCGTGCGGACCTGAAGGCGGGGTGGGTGGGTGGGTGGGTGGGTGTGTATGGTGGTGGGGGGAAGAGGGATCATACACGCAGAAGCGAGGGGTCAAGGGGGCTTGGAGTTGATAAAAGAGAGAAAGGGCCCGGGGCCCCCTCCCCCCCCCCCCGGGGGCCGGGCGGGATGTAAACATGCAAAAAAGCATATTCGATTTCTGACCGGCACCTGCGGTATATGGGTTGGAGGGGATGTACGATATGTACGGGATAATCACGGAGATCTTAATCATTCATACATACATACAAGCATAAACACGCATGTGCGCGGGACAAGCACAAGGGGAGAAGAAAGCACAGCATATATGTACGGCATGTCGTACCGTATGGCTGTGATAAGGTCGTCCGGTCCGGTGGCCAGCTTCATGCCCTTCCCACCCCCCCCACTGACCGCCTTGACCAGCAGCGGGAAGCCCACACGCAGAGCCTCCGAAACCAACCTGCGCAAATACGTCTCGTACATTTTTTTGCGTTCGTTTGCCTTGGCCGTGTCTGGACGCAAACAAAACAAAAGAAAACATCCGAAAAAATGATATACAGTAAATACAACACGAGGTCTGCTCGTACTGATATGTACGGAGGCAGTTCTCGGACATCCTCACCACCCCCCTGGACACTTTTTCCTCTTCCTTGTCGTCAAGTCATGTGTCTGTATGTCTGTATGTCTGGTGGCGCATGACGGGATGCAATCGTCCAGTTCCTCCTCCTCCCCCCCCCAACCCGCCCCACTGCCCCACTGCCCACCCACCCACCTCTCCTCGCTCTGGTCCTCCCCGTGATACCCCGGCACCACCGGCACACCGGCTGCCTGGAGCGGGGAATGGAAGGGGGGGATCGGGTTGTGGACGGGGGTTAGCCTGCCTGCCTGTTTGTCTGTCTGTTTGTTTGTTTGTTTGTCTGTCTGTCTGTTTGTCTGTTTGTTTGTTTGTCTGCTTGTCTGTTTGTTTGTCTGTTTGCCTGCCTGTCGGTTTGTCTGTCTGTCGTTTTGCCTGTCTGTCGGTCGGTCTGTGACTGCTTCTACCTGGTACTGCTTAGCCCTCTGTCCATGAGGTCGTGGGTGATGCCGAACTACTACTACCCAAACCCTAAATGGGCTGAGTTCAACCAAACCTATCCCCACAAACACACAGGAAGACAGGTAGACAGACAGGTAGACAGACAGGTAGTCAGACAGACAGAAAGGTACACAGACAGATAGACAGGAATTTCGGTAACTGACATTCACACTAACCTGCCTGTCTACATACATACCTGCATGATCGCCTTGGCAGTGCTCTTGTCGCCCATGGCCCGAATGGCCGCCGCGGGGGGGCCCACGAACATGATACCCGCCGCCGCACACGCCTCCGCAAAACCCGCATTCTCCGACAAGAAACCGTACCCGGGGTGTACGGCATTGGCGCCCGCACGGCGCGCCACGTCCAGGATGGTGTCGGTGCTGCGGCGTCGAGCCGTTGATTGTTTGCGGCCCGGTGTGGTGGGTGTGATGTGGGGTGTGATGGGGTGGGGTGGGGTGGGTGCTACGAACTGAAAGGACACCTATTTGACATGCGAGTTGATGAGGTTTCCGTTTTGTGCACGGGCTTTTTCGGGGGTTTCGGAGCCGGGCTGGGTGGCAAACGACACGAGGACTAGAGAACTGACGGAAAGCTGATTTCCTCAATCGGCCGCTCCGCTCCGCTGCCGGAGTCCGGAAGGGCGGCCCCCCGGGAGCCAACACCCCCTAGCCCAATCGCCACTCATACCGACTGATCCAGCTCCAGCCCGTAACGTGTCTCAACACTCGAAACCAGGATGGCGACCGTTCCCCTCTTTTCCAGCTTTCCCCTCAGCAGCTGTTAGCGCCTCCTTGAAAATAGGTTTTCCCGCCGTTGTTTTAGGGCTATTATATGAGAAAAGTCTTAGGCGCCGAAACCGAATCCCCGAACCGAATACCAAGTAACCCTACTACGCCCATTAGCGGCGTTTTGAGAAGGTAGGGCTCGTGGGCAAAGGGCAGGGAGGCGGGAGGGGGAGAGTGGTCCTTTCCTTCGCCTCCGTGGTGGCATTTCCCTTCCTTTTCAATATAGCAGTGATAGGGGGAACCTGCCATATTGTGTTTCCGCGGGGGAAGAGAGGCCCGGAGCAGCGCACAATGCAGCGCGTGTAGGTGAAGGAGCAGCAGCAGCAGCCTAAACCCTCTCTCACCGTAAATAGCTATCACGCGCAGCTGCACCACCAATGCAGTAGCTCTCGTCCGCGAGGTCGACGTGCTTTGCCAGACGGTCAGCTTCGCTGAAGACCGCAACGCTCGCGATGCCCATTTTTCGCGCGGTGGTTAGGACTCGGCAGGCAATCTCGCCGCGATTCGCTACGAGAAGCTTTTTTATTGCTTGAGGTGGTGTTTCTTCGTTTGCAGCAGTGGTTGACATTGGAGCGCGCTGCGCCCAGTACGCCGAGAAGCAACACCGCGCTCCCGCGACAGCAATAGCACCGGGAGCTCGACCGGGCAGGCGACGTGTACAGGTCAGATGTTGACCTATTGACAAGCTAAGCAGCCAGCTGGCAACCTGGCTGCTCTGCATTCCTTTCCTTTCAGAAACGGTATGCAATGCGCAATTCGTCCTTAGAAGTGAACAGAGCTTTCGTAGTTCAACGCAAAATGGTATTGATAAAGCTTTGAAAGGTTGTAAGAAATCAAATCCGTTTCTTACGCCAACCTGCAAGAACTCACCGACGTGGGTGTGACGCGGCAGTTGGTCCGTGCTTTGACAAACCGTTTCTACTACCGGTTCCTGTATATAGCCCTGACGTTCTTTGTTCCACGACAGGTGCTCCAAAAATCCGCAGATCCGCAATGTTGTCGTTAGGATGGACAACTGCTGAACCAGCCAGCAGGTTGGCATGTAGCAGCAATTACACGTTAACTGTCTGGCAGTGGTCTTGTATTACGCTACTAAGCAGCTGATGGTTTCAATGTAAATGAAAACTAAGGTCAACTGAGTTCGAGCGGCCTCGGCTGGTTTGCTACTGCCGCGTACTACCGGTCACACAACACGATAGCGGAAAGCAATCTTCCGATTAAGAATAATGGTACCACCACGGCTGTGGCAGAGCTTTGCGATGCAAGGTTGTGGAGAGAGAAGGTTAGCATTTGGTCGCATCATATCGCGCGTCGCATGCACCGCAGGCGTCGCCAAAAGTTAAGGGCGACACGCACACGCTGGGATTTACCCTACACCATGCACCCTTAAGAAATCTAAAATTACTCAACGTGCACCTATCGCGTTCCTGCGAATGCGTGCCCATCGCGTACTTAAGGGGAGGGGTTCTATCTGTCGACCTTACTGGGCCAATGGCTTGCCTGCAGTAAGATGAGAGGTTTAGTCCAGATCCATTAGCTTCAATCAAGTTTTACCAAAGCTCACGGGGTTGCCGTACCACTGCACATATTGAACCGCCAAAATGCAAAGGGTCAAGCAGTCTGCCCGGCATTAATCACTTAATGGAATCCCGGTACAACATATTGGAATTATTAAGAAACACTTCATTGCCTGGTTTTGTTAGACACTTAAGATCTTTCTCAGTTTGACAAGGTTTGCACACGCTTTTAAAATTCAACCCCCTGGCCTAGTAGGCAGTTAATTGTCATGTTTGGCGCGGCAGCCGCGCAGGCAAAGCCGGCGCATAACCCAAACGGCGACTTGGAGGTGCCGGCACCAGCTGACTTGGACTCCATAAGTAGCCTTACTTTCAGTCCAGCAAGCGATTTCTTTGCCGTGACATCCTGGAACAATAGTGCCTACGTATGGCAATATAATGCACAAGGGCAAACTTTCGCTAAGGCGCAAAATACCGGAACTCAGCCAGTCCTTACAAGTTGTTGGAAACACGATGGAAGCGGTATCTTTCTGGGCGGCTGTGACAAGGCGGTCCGGCTCTGGGACTTGGCAAGCAACCAGGCAGTGCAGGTGGCTATGCACGATGCGCCAGTGCGGCAGGTAACATGGTGCCCGCAGATGAATCTACTGATAACTGGCTCGTGGGACAAAACATTCCGGTATTGGGACACGAGGTCCCCCACGCCTGCGCACACGGGCGCACTCCCGGAGCGGGTTTACGCCATGGACCTGCGGGAAGACCTGCTAGTTATCGGCACGGCGGACCGCAGCCTGCACGCCCTATTCGTCACGCAGCCGCAGCAGATCAAGACCTTACCGTCACAGCTTAAATGGCAGACGCGCTGCGTGGCAGTGTTTCCCGACAAGAAGGGATTCCTTGTTGGCTCCATCGAAGGCCGTGTGGCCGTGTCCCATCTCAGTGAACAGGACCAAAAGGACAAGAACTTCACCTTCAAGTGCCACAGGCTCGAGACCGAGATTTACTCGGTCAACACGATGTCGTTCCATAACACGTACGGCACCTTCGTCACGGCGGGCTCAGATGGCACATATAATTTTTGGGACAAAGACTCCAAGCAGCGGCTCAAGGCGCAGGCCAAGGCCATGTACCCCAATGGTCAGCCCGCGCCGATAACTTGTGGCTCCTTTGACCGGACGGGCACCATTTATGGCTATGCACTCAGCTACGATTGGAGCAAGGGATACGCGGAGTACAACCCCGCAACCATGAAGCCGTACATCATGTTGCACTCGTGCAAGGAGGATGAGGTGAAGCCCAAGCCCAAGACCCTCACTGCTGGGCGGAAGTGAGAGCAGCAGCGCGTGGAAGCAGCAGCGACGGGCGGCGTTTGTCGTGTAGGGCGGGGCAGGAAGGGTAGCAGCGTGAATATGTGGGCCGGTGTGCAGCGCGGCGTTAAACTTCCCCGATGCATGGAGTTTGTGCTACGCAGCTAGGTACGCGGATGCGGCAGTGCTGGGTAAGGTCCTCGTCTCTTGGTAAGCGTATTGCTTGGCCCGGCAGCTGCAGCAGCGAGCTAAAGTAGTTGTGTCATTGGTTACTGATGATTTTGAAGTGCAGACATTTCAGGTGGAGGTGCCTAGTAGCCACCGACGCACGCTCACATAATCGTGACAATTTCGAAGGGCAACTGGTCGATGGTGGATAACAAAGGGGCCATGTGTTGCTTGATGCGCAGCGGCCCACGCCGCTGCAGGTGATTGCCATGCAGCTCTTGAGTTCGCATTAAAGGTCTTGAAAAAGCTCTGCACCTTGATACTTTCTTCTATGGCGGCCTTTGAGCTTTAATCGCCAGGGCGGTCGACTCGGAGTCAGATGGTTTCCAGTTGGATCGGTTTGGTAACATGCCGGGTGGGGCCCCTGGGGCTTGCAAGCGTCTGCGTTGCTGCTGCCGAGTTTCAGCTGCCGTCGGAGCAGAGCGCGGTCTCTGTTGTGACAGCTGACGGCGACACAGGCGAACATCTGGATGGATGCTTGCCTGGCCTAAAGTTTTGGTTATGTTTCGGCTACCTGGGCACAGGCAGGTTCATAGCGGCCCATGTACTACAATTGGCCAAAGGCCTGGGAAGGGTTATTGCACAAGTGGACGGGAGCAGCGCATGTACACTGTCCTATACTCGAGGTTGGTGCGGCGACGGTTGGAGATGTTCCGGGCTTCTAGAACTAAAGAATCTGGTTTGTCGAGGGACCTATAAATAGCCACATGCGCCTTCCTCCTGCAACTGGGGACTCTGTGACCTGCGTTATGCAGTGGACGATATGGGGCCTGCTTGCTGGCAGGTGATAACGCTGACGGGTTGTTGGACTAAATGCATGCGCCTGGAAGGGTTGAAGGCCCCCAAACGATACGTTTGAGACAACGCTGGAGGCTTTAGATGCTGAAGCTCATCCGGAGTAGCAACATAGACAACACGCGGCGCGGCGTTGTGCCTTTTTTCTACCTCCCTGGGTGTCTAGGGGAGGATAGGATGTTTTGCACTCGCAGAGTTGCACTCCTACTGAGGACGCGGCCACGAGAACCTCGCTAAATGGCGAACCCTAAGCAGAGGCATGCCAGGGTATGGATTGAGGTGACGGAGATGATGGACGTTACGTTGTTATGAGAAGATCTGCTGCGGTGATTTATTTTGTTGATAATGCGTGTACCCAACAGGCAAGCAAGTGCAAGTGTTCGGGACGTAGTTCCAGTTCCTCCTTTCTTCAGTTCCGTTGTTTTGAGGTGTCCTGGTCTCGAATAGACCACAGACTGCATGGTGCAAACCGATCATGCTGTCTCGTCCCGAGGATGCCAAGGCTCTTGCGTCACTGTCATATCCAGTCGTCAATCCTGACTGCAATGTAACCTGGCTCTCACCCACAAAGAGCCACCGCCTGAGTGCCGTTCCCCTCAGTGCCCTGCCCTGTTCACGGCCCCACGGACCATCTGCTGCTACTACAACTGAAAGGAGGAGTTCAGGGGCAAACATGAACCCATTGAACTTATCAGATTTGCCTGGAAGCTACATCAGACGACATGTTCTGCGCGCTGGAACAGCTAACGTCGTCGATACCGTCTTGACAGCACGGCGTGCGTGCAGATATTCATCCTCTTCATGTCCTCTACCTGACCTGGTGTCCCGGACGTGCAGCCTCATTGGTTGAGCCCTCGTTGGATCAACGAGTCACAGTAGCTCCGAAATCCTGTGTTGTGAGACAGAGGACCGCCTCAGATACTGCATTTTAGTACTTCACAACGCTTCTAGACCTCCTTTATGTCGAATATCCCCGAACCCACCTACGCACGCCTTCGACCCTGGCCTTCGGATATCCACGTGCCCCCCCCCCATGTTATGGATATACCCCGGAGGCTACTTCAGTCGCATTTGTTTGTGTTTGTGCCTAGTCGTGCTTCCATCCGTCGCCCCTGCGGCAACACCTGCGGCTACTAGACATATCTTCTGGCCGGGCTCATCCCAAAGCAAATAGCCCGTCTGCTGTATGCATGCATACCTGTACGTCTGTCCGTCTATCTGTATCTTTGCGCGTAAACATGGCTCGAGCTGGACGTCTTTTGACGCCCCGTACGCGCATCCATAAATACATGTACAGGTATGAAGATAGGCACATATACATGTACATAACATGAATAAATACTGCAAGCCTGGACCCACCAACGCCCTCAGCCAGTACTTCTGTCTCGCCCCACATCAGAGCCCTGCTGCCGCCCAAACAACCTCCAACAACCTCCAAACGGACAGGGCCGCGGCCGCCAAGCCTATCGACGCCACCTCCCGCCACCTCTCCCCCCCCACTACCACCCATCACCCTGACAGCCAACATAAACACCTTTTTGAGATCACGAGGCGCAGCACCGTCGCGGTGGTGGCCAGGGCAGCGCCTCTGCGGCGGAAGCTGCCGCGCCGTGGTTAGTTACGACGCCGTGGACTTCGACACCAAGCTGCACACCGTCCGCGGCGCGGCAAAAATACTGAGTCGTACTTCTACGGAGCTCCTCGGCAGTGTCGTCGCTGTTGCCTCAGCCGCCTGGATTGCCTTGTCACAATTCGTTCCCATCAGACGGCGACGGCGACACTCCAGTACCGCAGCCGGGCTGCCTCCGTCGCCGCCTCCGTCGCCATCATCGGACCCTCTACCTCCGTCGCCACCACAGTCGATAGCGCCGACCCAGGTACAGCAGCTCCCCTGTACGGCCGCAGCAGCGCGGCCCTACCGCTAGGCCCGGGGCTCCCGCCGTCACCATTGCCGCCTTCGGCCGCCGTACTACTGGCACCGCCAGGGCAGCGAGCCCTGGGGTCGCTTGGGCCGCCGCCGCTTGCGGCGGCTGTAGTGCCGCGCCGTCGGGTGTTGTACATTCACGTGCTGTGCTGCTGTTACCGTTGCGTTGACTGCGTTGACTGCTGCTCGGAGATGTACTGCTGCAGCCGCTGCCACTCGAGCACTACTTGTTGCTGTAGCTTTAGCTGCTGCTGCTCATGTTGTTGTCGCCGTTGCAGTTGTTGTTGTTGCTCAGCAAAGAAGGCATTTGCTCAGCGACAGATTCCATGGCCGTCATTGCCTGTGCCGCGGCCATAGTGGAGCTAAGACCGGCATTGGTGCCGCCGCCGCCGCTAGCAGTAGCAGGAGCTGTTGCTGGTGCTGCTGCTGGTGCTGGTGCTGGTGCTGGTGCTGCTGGTGCTGCTGGTGCTGGTGCGGGCCTTCCAGCCCTCAGCGCTGCCAGCAGTGCCGTATACAACTGGCATTTGATTTCCAACTCCCGCTCCACATCGTCCACGCAGGGTAATGCTACAACGTCGTAATCCTGTACGACGCGCTCCCGGGCCCGCGCCTCCCAGTCAATTTCGCCACGCAGCAGCCGCTCCTCGAGCTTGTTCAGGCAACACCTGGAATATGCAACAAGGGATTTTGTGGAGGACCTGATGGAGAATGGACTGAGGTACGGCGCCGCCTGCCCCTTCCCCTCACATTCCGTTGTGCTCATCCGGTCGGCCCAGCCAACCATCTACTAACCGCCCTATAACTATAACCGCTAACCACCCAGCCAACCACCCTACCTGTACCAGTCGTCGAAGGGCGTGTGCGTGAACGAGCCACTGAACAGCGCCTCGCGACCCGTCTGAAGATGTACGGCATCTACCTGCATGTGCACGCATGTGTACATACATACATACATGTGTGTATGTCGTTACAGGGTGGTTAAGCTTCACCAGCGGCCCCCTTTCCCGAGGCAGTTCCCTGCTCTCCCCTGGGCACCCTAATCCACGTGTGTATACATAGGCAGACGTACATAAAGGAAAGAGGCAGGTAAGGAAGTACCCGGTGCGGCTTCAAAACTAGGGTGTGGTTTCGGTGCGCGATGTGCCGCATCATGAGTGTGGCACTTAGGGATCCGTACAACATCCATGTGAAACCCGTGTGAACGAAGGTGGCGAGGAGGGGCGAGGATGTGTGACGTCCGCAAGGCACGCTGCCTGCCGCGGTTTTAACGGCATCCGCCGTCGCCGTCGTCGGAACAAACAAACGCCGCACATCTGTTTTGAGCCAGCGACGTACGGCATACATTTAACAGGGAGGCCGTTGAAAAGGCCGTTGAAAAGGCGTTGCAGCCCGCCACCCTACCTGAAAGTTCGTTATCTTTTTCAGTTGCAACCACATTTCCTCGTCCTTATCATCGAAAGGTTGTTCACCCAGATCCGTACATGCGACCGTATGGTCATGCCTGCGGCGGGGGAACATCAAATACCAGGGTATGTATGTATGTATGTATGTATGTATGTATATATGTATGTATGTATGTATGACTTAGATTACACTGTGGGCTGCGAGAGCCGGGGGCCGAAGCCGAAACACAGCGCAAGGGTCGGGAGCACACAGCACAAGTCGGTTAGTCTTGTGTGCTCCCGACCCCGACCCCGACTCAGACTGCCAAGTATGTATGTATGTATGTATGTATGTATGTATGTATGTATGTATGTATGTATGTATGTATGTATGTATGTATGTATGTATGTATGTATGTATGTATGTATGTATGTATGTATGTATGTATGTATGTATGTATGTATGTATGTATGTATGTATGTATGTATGTGCGTTAATGTGCTGTGTGCGAGGAAAGATGTGTGTGCCATACATACTTAAATGCATGAATGCAACACCCTCACGATGAATGAAAACATCTATCATCACCTGGTCAACATACAAGAAGGTTTATGAGTGACAGTAACCTGCTCTTTATAAGGAGGCGAAACAGTAACCGTTTATTTAGCTCACGTGTACACAGCAGCTCCCCGGTAGGATCGACCTTTGTAGACTGCGGCGTCAGCGGCGGTCATTCGGGGGCCCTATGTGTGTGGTCCAGGGAGGGCAGGGCAGGGCAGGGCAGGGAACCATTATATGCGTGTCAACGAAACAAAATGTCGATATACGCCCCAACGGCAACGACTAGAGGCGGAGAAGGGGAGATTGGAAGAGGCGGAAAGGGAGCACCGGTGCTGGGAGATTTCCGGCAACGGAGGAGGAGGCTCAGGCGGCTCAGGAAAAGAGTTCATTTATTTATCAAGCGAGGTCGCAGAAGTTTCCCCTTCAGCTCTCAGGATTCTGCTTCATGTCGCGCGGTGTGGTTTCGCAGGGCACTAAAGAACAGTTCTAAGGCGCCAAAGAAAAGGAAATAATACCCCGTCCTTCCCGTTGTAAAATGCTTTACAGACTCACAACGGCCGCAAACGAACAACGTACGAACGCTAACCAACTCTACAACAGAATACAACCAACATAAACCAACTTACTTTATAAGCCGATGTGACCATCTTGACCTCCTCGGGGGTCACCCCCAGTTCCGACAGCCGCCCCACCAGCAGTAGCCGATTCAAGCCCGTGGCGAGGGCTGCCAGTTTCCGTACGGTCGGGATGCGGGTACGGTGGTGAAAGCTGTCGGTCACCATGGACTTGTCGTGGGAGGAGGTGACCCAGGGTCGGTTGACGTCCTCCTCAAGGAGGCGGGCGAGCTCCGCCTGGTTTCGGAGGTTTAGGGAGAATCGTTGAAAAAAGGGCGGCAAGGAACGGAATCATAACTGCTAAAAAAACGTTTTTTTAAGGTACAAATTCAGAAAGAATCAAAGCAAATTCTAAGCGGGCTGGGGCCTCGGAAAGCAATCAAGGTATGCAAGACAGAAGCATGACAGCAAAAAAGATCAACAGCCGACAGGAGAGGTGTTCCGGAGGCAGGGGAGTGTAGTCATTTCGGATGGACATTGGTTGGGAATTGAGAGTTAACTGGTACGTACGTACGGCAAAGTACGGCAATACTACTAAATGCATGCATGCATGCAAATAACTCAAGCACACCCAAGCCCCCTCCAACCCTCCCCCAGACGCACCTGCATGGCGTCCAGTTCCCGTACGGCAGGTTCCACGAGCAGTGGATCCAGCCCTGGAACCAGAATATCTAGTCCCAGTCGCTTGCTGTACTTGTGAAGCCGGACCTGTCCGCCGCATCCAAACAGCAGCAGTGAAAGCAGTGAAAAGCAGCCATCCAACCGCCCAGCAAGTAAACGGTTTGGTTTCGGAGCGGGTCTCAATCAATCAGTCAGACGGGACTTGACGGTTAGCAGTGCCCGAGGGGAGAAGAGGGGGGAAATGGAGGGGAGGGAGGAGAGGGGAAATGGAAAGAAGGGCAGGTACGGGATTAGGACAAGACCCATACCCGGGAGGGCTGTGTACGATAGATTGCCGTGTTTCAACACGACACAGGCAAGACGCACAGTACTGCAAATTCGTCGTACTACCTCGTAACTGGGCGACTGTCGTATAGGTTCCACGAGGATAAAGCCGCAATGTAACGCTCGCAGCGCACGAGCCGCTGCCCATAGCTCCACTCCGTCGTACAGTAGCGCACACACGTCCACGTCAAAGCCGTGAACCACCTGTCGTGCAAATGCCATGGATTGTAGTACAATACGAAGTTCAACCAATATTAGGCAAATGTGGACATCATCAACCCAGCACCAGATTACGGGTGTGGCTCCCACCTCCCCCACCCCCGGGTAGGTGAGGGGGGGGCGCCGTACACACATACACACATGTGTCAGGACGTGGCAGCGCACCATATCACTCTGCCTGTGCTGTCGCGCCAACCCGTCCACTTCCTATTCCGTACAAATGTCGTACACGTACTTGCGCTGGAGATTCGTACAATCGCAGTATCAGCTGCAGCTGGGCCACAAGATGGGTGCCGTCGCATGTGCCGTCCATCTCCCGATTCGTCACCAGGACGTCGAGGGTGTGACATTGCTCCTGATCGCGGGAAGCAAAGGCGGTGTACGGAGTTCTTTTTTGCAGATGTACGTAAAGAGGCAGCATTAGAAAAGAAAATAAGAAGAAATGAAGACGTCTCAGGCGGCCGGATTGAAAAAAAAAGATTGGAAAGGGGTAACAGTAACGCAGGAAATGCGAAACTAAAAAAATTGAAAGGATTATTTTTAAGACATTAAAGAAGAGATTGTAGAAGTTATAAAGTTGTAAAATTAAAATTAAAAATTAAAAGGGATTAAAGGAAGTGAAGAAAATGAAAAGCAAGATCAAGGGCTCGAGGGAGGGGAAAGGAAAGAAAACCCGGACAACATCACATACACACATACACACACGGATCACGGCGCCCCCATGAGATTCAAAACGAAAGCGAAAACTTCACTTGTGTGTGTGCACGTGTCCAGGAGGGAAGAGGGAAGCGAAAGACGGCAGGCGACTGACTCACCCATGACCCCGTCCGGGACCCCAAGGGCCTTTAACGGACGCCCTCCCCCTCCCCTTCCCCATTTGTGCGGATCTTGTAACTGCACGCACATACATACATGCATTCATACATACATACATACACACGCAGCCCCGGCGCCGTCCCTCAGCGAATTAACCACATACCCCGGCCACCGCGTACACGAACAGCGATTGGTCGTGTGCCGCCACCTGCCGCTGCACCGCCTCCATCGCCTCCATCGCTACCAGCCACGCCGCGTCCCGACGCTGTTGCTCGCTGCGCTGCAGTCCGGTTGCCGGATCCAGGGAGGGTACGACAAGGAAGAGGTCCACGTCAGACGCGGCGGCGCCTGGTACGGCCATCCCCAGTGCCGCTCCCCCGGCCATGACCAGTCCGCTTCCTCGTGTGGGTGTGAACCATGGCAGGGCGGGGTGGGACCACTGGGGGAGAAGGAGGGGGGAGGGAGGAGAGGGGGAGGGGGGGAGGGGGGAAAGAGGTACCATGGACGAGTGAAGCTGCTGCCAAAGAAAGGGTGTACAAGAGGAGCAGAACTGACCAGTAGGCGTTCTTGAAGGACGCGACCCCTGGATGATGTAATAATGATGATGATAGCGGAAACCTACCTACCTAGCCGCCAAGACTAAAGTAAGAGCGGAAGAAAAGCAGTAGAGCGAAGCCGTAATGAAGTAAAGGCGGTGGGGGAGGAGGAGGGGGAGGATGGCGGGGGTCCGGATGGTGATGATGATGGTGCAAAGGTTCAACTGCCAATACACGCCCAAGGCTGGAGAAGGAGAGAGGAGATCGGAGAGAATGGGTGGGTGCGTAGGTGGGAGGTAGTCGGAAAAGAGGGGCAGGGGGGCAGGGGATTTAGGGTTTCTCCCTCCCCCTCCCCCTCCCCTTCCCCTCCCCCTCCCCCTCCCCCTCCCCTACCTGGACCACTGGCGGCAGTCTGGCCGTCCAGTCCGGACGGCCTTGCGGGTCCCCGTGAGGCAGCAGCTGCAGCCGGGGACACCCCGCTGGGGCACGCAGGAAGACACGCTCCGGGACCAAACCCAAACCAGGAACCTCCCGGCATAAGGCCCCCACACCGGCCGCGGCGGCAGTGCTCCCAAATGACAGAGCCGGCGGTGGCGGCTGCTGTGGCGGCGGTAATGGTGACGGTAATGGTGACGGTGACGGTGATGGTGGTGGTGATGGCCCTGACGATGGCCCTGACGATGGTGATGGTGGTGGTTGCGGAGGACGTCCGAACTGGGAACTGGGAGCTGCTGTGCAAGGTGATGCTTCCTCCATCTCAACCTCCACCTCCACCTCACCCCCACCCCCACCCTCCTGCTGCTGCTGCCTCCGGTCCGCCTGTGTCTGCAGGGGCTGCTGTCGGAACCCGGTAGCCGGTGAACCCGCCGCCGCATCCGACCACCTGCGGATGGGATGAACAAAGGCCGCGCCAACCACCGTCTTCCATGATGCGCAACAAGCATGCAGGTACCAATGAAGCCATGCAGAAAGGTAAATTTTCCGTTTCGTAAACCGTCATAAGGCCCATTTTACCTGAAGAGATCCAGGTAGGGATCTGAATTCGTCGTAACGCTGGAGCCGTAGCTCAACAACCGTAAAAGATCTTGCACGTACATGTCGTACAACGCGGGACTGGCGGCTGCCAGCTCCTGGCTGTAGTCAATGTACGGCGGTACGGGTTGCGGTAGACAGATGTCGGGTATTCCTAGGAACCGGCGACCGCGGACCCAGGCCTGTGCCCCGGGGGATGCCGGGTTAGTGCCGGGTTAGTGCCGGGGGGTGTAGATGGCGGCGTATCTTACAGACAGACATACAGGGTGACATTCCTAACATGATGAGATGAGTTCAAATCAACACAAAAGAAACAACCACCAACTCCCAGAACATCGGAAGGGCTGGGTACCACCGACGTACGATATGTACGATCAAGCTGCCCTAGCGCCTAGTGTCGCCCTTCACGCCTTTCGCCCGTCACTCCGTGGGCTCCATGGGCTTCGCAAAAGGCTAACTAACTAACTAACTAACAAGCGAACTCATGCAGCGTGTTCGCACCTCGTTCTCCTGCATCCATGTTTGAAAGCCGCTGACTCGTTGGCCCTGCGGCGTTGTGCCCAGACACTCACCCAGATAGCACAACACTTTCTTGGCTGCAGTACAAGTGTACGACAAGCAGACGTAAACACACGTGGGGTATATCGCATGCAGGGGTACATGAGCGGGTAGGATACGCTCACATGCGTGTATCATTTTCTATTTGCGTAGTGAGCTGTGAGATACCATGGGCTCTCCTAGGTATCGCGCTTCTTCTTCTCCTAAGCCATGCGGGTGATCCTGCATGTGCAAATGCTCCTTTCTTTTACCTCCTAAGGTTCTAACGGGAGTCCACCCGCGCCACAAATGCGTTCTACCTTCCGGCGGTGCGTTCGCAAGCAGGGCCCCATATGTGTGTCCAACCGACCCGCGGGTCGTCCCTGCGAATGCGTCATCTAGGTCGCACACCGTGCGTAGCATTCGCCGGACGTTGGGCCATTGCAGCAAAAAATTTAGAGCCTGCAAAAAATGGGTTGATAAGCATGGCAAGTTTGGTGGTGGTGTAATGGAAGGATGGTGTTGACTTTTGCCTTGTTTGCTTTGTATGTGACAGACGGGGCCCCGAACGGCCGTTCGCGGGCAAGCATTTCCATCTGCTGTGCGACCTAATCGGCAATCACGTATGGTAGAATCGAATCCTATACTGTTTGAAACGCTGTATACAGCAAAGAGAACAGCTGCCAACGCATTCCACGGGCAAGCCGCCGTCTCGCTGCTGCAAATGCAGCCAATAGGACAGCCAATGGCGCATGTGATTCTAAAAGGCCTACTATCAAGATATCGTGGATATTGCAACCGCGGCTCCATTGTGCAAAAAACAACACGCCACCGAGTCCATCCCGTGCCCATCCAAGAAGAAAAACAGGTGTCCAAATTGACCTAAACCTGTATTAGCATGTATGTCATGTGCAAAGTGAGATGGATGCTTCGCTAATTACCGCGCTGTCTTCTGTGGCAGTGCTCGGTGGCGCTGGTGCCATCCAACCCTGACTTGTGCAGCTCGCCGTCAAAGGCGTTGCATACATCCGTTCATATCACAATTTAGAAATCAAGGAATAATGCTAAGTCGCGTCCACTGCTAAGCTGCATCCGTGGCTGAAATAGTGCAGAAGTCCCGTACAGCGACGAGTTCGCTGAATGCCGAACGACTGTATGCGCAGGAACCAAGACCGTATAATCAACTCGGGACATTATAATGATTGATTATGACAGACTACATGGTGCCTCAATGCTTCCTTCACTTCGTAAGGGCGATCATTCCGTTAGATACCGACAGTACTACATAGTCAGGCGCTCTCTGCAGGCTGACTCTTGGGTAGAGGGCTAGTAGTGATAGTTCATCCTGTACGTTAGATCATACTTGAGGGCACACCTTCTGCATAATGGTTGGGGTCTTGCGACGGGGGTTGTGCCTAGCAAGCAGCAACGTGCTTTGGGAGCAGCTCTCCCCATTTTCAATTCCTTTTCACGACCAGGTATATAACCGAGATATTGATTACGAATTTTGTTAGCTCTTTATTCTGTGGAGCTTCAACCGTCCTCACCGCTTCTCGCCCGGAAGGAAAGCAATTGAATAATGTGTTAATTACGAACCTATGGGTGCAGATCTGCCATGGGGAACGTTGCTTGAGCGGCGCCAGCGCCAGCTCGTCATCGGCCGGGCTGGACACACAGCTCGCTATTTCAGCAAGGCGTCGTCGACGTGCAATTGAGATCGTATCTTCTAAACATGTTGTCACGCTTTTTGGAGGCTCTACAGATGCCTCACGACCTATCGGGGCGTCGGCATCAGCTTTGCGAAGCTTTACTTCGGCAGCCGCGACGGCATCAGCACCTAGCCAAACGAGATCGGACGGAGGGGCCAAGAGCGTCGGAGCTAGCATCATCGGTAGCAGATTCTTGGCGCCTTGGCCATGGGTTGACCCCTCCAGGCCGCAGGTGCTGCCCATAAGCGTTCCCAAGAGGCAGACACAGCCGGTGCCACTTTCCGAGGCACTGGACAAGCTGCTGGTGAGCATCAGCGTTGCCGGTAGGCAGCCCTGGCAATATGTATGCATACGCGTGCGCATGTGCATGTGTTTGGGGGGTAGCAAAGCTTCTAAATTGAGGTGGCCAATATCTACCTCATGCTGGCCCAACCTTCTCTCCCAACCTTCAACTCCCGACAATTAGTAAATTCATCTGGGTCGTCCACTAAACCACGCGAACGACCCACATTTGGCCCAGACCGCCTACATACGTTTGGGTGTGTCATGCCGGGGCCTGCAGGATGCGCTTTCCTTACCCTTGGTACGCCGCTGCAACGGTTGAGCTCCTGCACTTGCCCCGATAGTTGTTCCTCCACTTTGCAAACCCACCTTAACCCCTCTACCCTCCGCCCCGCCCACCACCGCCACCACTACCACCACCACTGTCACCAGATTGCTCTGCCCGTAGCTGACCGAGCCCGTCACAACCTCGAGGTCTTCATCAGGTTCCGTTTGGACCCGCGCCGTTCGGACCACCTGGTGCGCGGCAGTGTCGTTCTGCCGTACGGTACGGGCAAAGCCATGCGACTGGTGGTGTTTGCAAAGGGGGCCGACGCGGAGATTGCACGGAGCGAAGGTAATAAGAGGCCACACGGAGATGAGAGGGCTTGGTTAGGGGCGGGGATGGGGGAATTCTGCATTAGGGGGCCCTATAGAGCTCCAGGGGGCCGGGCGGGTCTGTGTGGTCCGGGCCGGCATTTGGCTTGTATTTGGCTTTTCGCGCTTTCCTCCCTTTGGGATGCCGTGACGTCTTCACAAGTCCCATTAATACGTCGTCCATGCAGTCTTCCTCTCCCTCTTTACTTCTTCTTACCATAGTCCGTTCATTGTATATGATTATCAAGTTTTGTCTCCTTGCCATCCCTACACCCTTTTCCCCTTCCTAGTTTTTTGCATATGTTTCCCAACCTGTATCCCTTCCCACCCTTTACCTGCGGCCTGGACCAGGTGTGGACCTCATCGGTGACGAGGAACTCATAAGCGCCATCGTGTCCTCCGACGGCGCCGCCATCAACTTTGACCGCCTCATCGCCACACCTGACTTCATGAAGCCGCTGGCAAGAGCCGGCAAGGTGCTGGGGCCCAAGGGCCTTATGCCCAACCCCAAGGTACGTCCTATCGATGCAAGAGCGTGTTCAGACGTAATCGGTAATCTTTTCAATGTCCTCTTATCCATTCAGTGTAAATATACAACGCGCTAAACGCTCCGAAACCCGAAACCCAGATGGGCACGCTTACAAGCGACGTTGCCGGCGCCATCCGTGACATCCGCCGGGGACGACTGGACTACCGACTCAGCCGGGAGGCTACCGTACGTGCCGTACTGGGTCGCGGCTCCATGACGGCGGAACAGCTGGCAGCCAATGTGGGCGCGTTGGTGGCCTCGCTGATTGAAAACCGGCCCAAGGCACTGGCGGGACCGGTGGCGGCGGCGCCAGCGGCAGCGACGCAGCAAGGCGCATCGGCACCGGCGGCGGCGGCACCGACGGTCGGCTTGCTGGAACGTGAGTTGATGGGATATGGGTTTCAGTGCGCCTGTAGGGGTCTGTACGATGATTGCCTGCCGACAGCTAGCTGTCCCGTTTACCTGCTCTGATCGCACTCTTGCGACTCATTGGGACTGTTCTATGTCCGGTTCTGTCTTCCAACGTTAGGCTGCTCCACCCCGCCCTGCCCATTGCACTACAGCACTTCTTTCGAGTTTTTCTGCTTGCTTTCTCTCATACAGAGATGTTGTCGTCCCCTTAGAAGTCTTCCTTTTTGGTGTCATTGGTGTGCAGGTTACTTTATGACCTTTTATCTCAAGACCAACCACTCGCCCTCCGTTGCCATTTCCCTGGAGTCGCTCAGCGACGCTGCCAGCAAGTACGGCCAGGCGGCGCCTGGTGGGGTATCACCTACAGCTGCGAGCGGGTTATCACAGTCACAGCCACAGAAGCAGCAAAAAACTTCGTCGGTGTCACAGAAATAGGGGCAGCAAGAAATTGGGCGAAAAGATGTAACAAGGCGAAGAAAGAATAGACGACTAGGTTGTAGCAATGTGGAAAAGAAGAAGCATTAAGGTTAATCGAGGGCTTTATAGTGGATCGTGTGATTGACTGGTTTTGCCTACGTGGCTAAGAGTGGTAGGGCAAAGGCAGAAGGTACATGTGTAACATGAAAATTGTTTCAAGTATATTTTTGAGCTCGTACAAATTTTTTTATTGTCGTATCATGTGTGTGTGTGTTACATGGTCGTGGTTGCATTCCCATACCTGCAAACCGTCCAAATACCAGCAGAAGGCTTTGTCAAATCGCCTATATGTATCATTCCATCTTGCACTTTAGAAGAAGCAAGTTAATGTCTACATTATAACCAAAATTATATCGAATAGTCTGACGATTCCATTTTTGTATATTTACCTAGCTAAAGCTTATTTTTTTGGAACCATACCTATTTCCTCCCACCATTTGTTAACATGACTAAAATAGGACACAATCTACAGCGCTCATCTGCGGCAGCAGCCACCAATTCCAGCTCAGCCAAATACACAACGACAAGGGATTGCGTGTAACGAAACGTTCCCAGGGCGTATGCATGGCAACTAACCAGGGAATGACAACTGGCAAATAACCCCTGTTGACAACAACTTGTTCGTCATACCATACGGTACCAATCCACAATGCGAGGTGGAGAGATAATACGCATAGTTGCACGGCCTTAGGTACTCCCCGGCAGCGACATTTCTGCACAGACCGGTGTTGATTCAAGAATCATCTCCTGCATCCTTGCAGCATTAGCAATAGCAACCGACTTCTGCGACATTCAAGGGGTCTTACACACCCCTTCCATCCGCGCAACAGCAAATACCTCCAGTACTACAGCGACAACGCAGAGACACCAAAATTTCAATAATATCCTACCCCGACGCCCTCCCCACACATACACCTTATAGCAAATCCTGCCACACACAGCAGCGGGGTTGGTTACTCATTGGCTGTGGCAACGTGGTGCCGAGGACGAGTATGCGCTCAAGTAAAACAATGACATCACCATATACGGAAATCCGTTGTGGGATGTGTAGAGAGTACGATCCGTACATCATGTAGTACAAATACAATTGAAAATGCAATGTTGAATATATCTTCGACCATAGAGCCCGGGAAGGCCATATACCGCTCGCTTTGTTCGCCGGCGGTCTGTTCCTTCCCAGGAACTGCGACAGTACCATCCCCTACCTGATACGTCGTACAGGCGCAGTGGGGATATGTACACGGAACTGCTGACCACATGGGGCCTCATAGGTGCCCTCCTGCGGCGCCCTCGGTAATTGCAGCAAATACTATTTGACGTGTGACGACGACACTGCAGTCGTCCCACACTGCAATCAGCCCACGACGACAGCCCACGACGATAGCGACGATGCGGACGACGACGACGAGGACGAGGACGACTGGGACGTCCCCTGTCCAGAGGATCTCAGCAGCGGCATTGCGTCGTGCGTCTTCATGCATGTGCATCAATCATGGACAACTGGACTTGCCACATGAGACTAACTAGCACTCGCCGACAAGGAAAAACATTTTCGAAGCTTTATTTTTCCATGCTTTCGTGCCCCAAAACCGGTTTCAAAATGTACAGTGATGTACGGCGCAGTGGTCCGTCCTCCACTCCTTCATCAACCTAGCTAGGGGCCGCAGGGACCCCGCGCGGCGCCTGGATGTCGCGCATGGCGGTGACCTCCTGCCGACACAACGGGCAGTTACGTGCCCAGCCCCGCGCCTCCAGAGCTGGCAAGCAGTCGCGGCACACCCCCACGTGGAGAACACCACTCGCGTGCGCGAACGCCAGTTCACTGCTCCGCTCCATACACACAAAACACGAGTCGCCGTCGTCGTCCACGACGCCGCTACTAACGACACCGCCGCCGGCGTCAACATGGCAGCCGTGAGCACCGACATCGCCGCCGTTGCCGTCGCCGTACATGCCGTTGCCGTACATGCCGTATATGCTGCCGAACTTATGAAGGTTTCCAAGCAGGCCGCCGTTTAGAAAGTTGTCTGTTGTGGTGTTGCCGTTGAGGCCGCCGTGGTGGTGGCGGTGGCGGCGGCCGCCGGGGGCGCCAAGCGGCAGGACAGCACCTGTCACCACAGCGACCGTTGATTCCATCGCCGCTACCGTCGCGACCGCAGATGCTTCAGACGTTGTCGGCGCTGCTCCCGGCGCCGCCGCCGGCTCCGCAGCATCTAACGCCGCCGTCGCTGTCGTCAGGTCAATACTTGGCGGCAGAGCCGTCAGCGAGTCCGTCACCGCTGCGGGTTGAATTGCCGTTACTGCTGCTGCTCGCGGCGGCCGGAACGGCACTCGAGATCGCGGAACAGATGCGACCAAAGGGACGTCAGCCTCCAACACTGTCTGTACTGCATCATCACCGCCTTCCGTACCTTGAGCCGGTACGGCTAAGGAAGCTGCCGACGCCGTCGATCCTTCTCCATCGCTTCCTCCTGCACTACCAGGCATCGATAAAGGTACGGGAACCGCTGACGCCGGCAGGATTCTGTCATCACCTCCTGCCGTACTAGGCAACGATACAGGTACGAAGACTTGTACCCCTTGGAAGGAGCGCTGTCGAGATGTCAATGATTGCCTTAGGCCCTGGCCGGCCCCGAGATCTCGATCCAAATCAAAATCCAAATCCAGATCACGCCCCAGCCAGCCACTTGTTTCCTGCAGACGGGCAGATGCCGCCGTCACCGCCGGCGCCATCATTGCTACTGCTGCCGCCGCTTCCGCCGCCGCCAAAGCACGTGCCGCTGCCCTGCTAGCAGGCGATGGCTCTGCGTTTAATCCTTCTGCGTTGCTATCCGCGGCAGTAGCACCAGATCTGTCCGAAGCTGCCACTACCGCTGCTGTTGTCCCGAAAGCGGCAGCTACTGCCGTCGAAGGAACGGTCGCCGCCATCCCCGGCGACACCACTGTCGCTGCCGCCCTGGCTGTGCACCGCTGGTTTCGTACGGCGGCAGTTGCAGGAATGGCTGACGTAGACGGCGACGTAGCCGGACGGCGGGTAGAAGATTCCTTGATTTGCGATGGCGACGGCGGGGCCGGTGGCAGAAGCGGCGATACCGCCGCCGTGACCAGCGTGGCTCGCGGCGGGGCAGCAGGCACAGCTGCCGCTGCGGTCGACCCGCCCGCAGAAGGCTGCTGTGCCGTCGGTCCTATCAAGCCGCGCGTCGCCGCGCGGACTGCATGCGTGGCCGCTACCAGCGTCGGCAACGGAAGCGCCGACGGCGGCGGCGACGACGTCCCGGCAGTAGCCCCGGCAGCCCGGCCGAGCCGTGGCGATGACGTTGCTGGTGCCGCTGCCTGCTGCCTTTGCATCAACATCTGCCGCGAGCCATTTACCGCCAACCCCGGGGTTGAATCCAGGCCATGTGCATGCGATTGCCGTACAGAGCGTACGGATCCAGCACCAGGGTGCAGACCCAGGTCCGGATCCGGATTCAGATTCAAAACCTGGCCCGGTTCTGCAACACTCATATGCTGCCTCAGCACCCGCTGAACGAGATCCCGTGCGGCCATTCCCGGAGGTGGTGAAGCAAAGAGCGCCGCCGCCGAGGCCAGGCCGTACACGTGTCCTGGCGGCGATGGCGGCGGCAGTGGGTCGGGTGAGACCGTGCTCGTTGGTTCTGTTGTCAAGCTGATGCTTGGACGCAGCCCCGGCGGCAACAACGGCTGTGGGGTTGTTGACGGCAACGGCGGCGGGCTCCGTAGCGACGCCACGGCGGCAACGGCGGTGGGCCCCCCGACGGCGGCGGCTGCAGCCTCCTGCGTCTGCGTCGACAGCGACGGCGACGGCAGCGTATGAATGTCAGCCCTCCCACGGCTTCCCGTGTGCACCGTTGTTTCTGCTGTCACGTCACCGGCTGCAGTGGGAGCGGAAGCTGCTTCGCGGCGGCACCTTTGAAGCCGTACCCCAGCGGACGCCAGTAGCCGCACCGCTCCACCAGCGCGGTGCGCCGTCACCGCCGCCGTTGCAGTTGCCGCCGCCGTCGTGTCTCTTCCATGATCAAGCGCTTGCTGCCGCAGGTTACTACGTGTCGCCGCCGGCTGTAGCGCCGGTGACGGCGGTGACGGCTGTAGCGGCGGTGACGGTGGTGACGGCTGTAGCGACGGTGACGGCGGTCCCGATTGTTGTGACTGCGGTCGAGTGAATCGCTGTGGATTGCCCTCCGTTAGCCCTGCCGACGACGACGCTGGCATCGCCGTCCCAGGATCCACAGCTAGGAAAGCTCGCGACGCCGTCAGCAGCTGCGTTTGCTCCAGATGTAGCCGCTGGCCTGATGGCGATGACAGCGGCAGCGGCGGCTGCGGTAGCGGTGGCATGTGTGGCTGCTGCAGCCTCAACGACGGGCGCGACGGCGGCGGCGGGCTATCAAGTTGCTCCATAGCAGCGAAAAACTCGTTGCGTTTGCTACTGCCATCAAATATTTGATGGTCGTGCTGCTTCAGCGTCAGGCGGAGCGCCGGCGGCAGCGCCGCCACTGCGGCGGCGACCTGGCGATGCGGACGCTGTAGTATTGATACCGACGCCGACGACGCCGGCGATGACGCTGATATAGGGACCAAAGCGACTTCCTCCCCGTGGCTCAACGCGCCGATGTCACTGCTTGAAGCGAGCGGCGGCAATAGCATCAGACGTTGCCGCATTGTAAACCGCGCTGACTGCTCCGACGGCGACGAGGCTGACGGTGACGGTGGCGGCGACAGCTGTAAAAGATGTTCCTGCATCGCCGCCGGGAACTCCGTGTCATGATCCGCAGCCGCCGACGACCGCAGTGGCGGCGACGGTGGCGGCAGCGGCCGTTGCGGCAGTAGCGATAATGCCGCCCTGTGTCCCCACAGATCGAGACGAGGCATTAGCGATGCCAAAGCGGACGCGACGGCGGGTGCGTTAGCGCCGGTAGCGACGCCATTGCTGCTACCTTCGGCAAAGAGTACGACGGAATCGGCGGTAGCTCGCCCTCCGGGAACCCCGCCGCCGTGGATTGTTGACGGCGGGTGCAAACCTGCAGCTCTGTGAACTTCTACCGCAGCGGGATTAGAAGCCGCCTCAGTACGCCGTCTCAGTGCACCGCCGTCGGGACTATTGCCGTTGGCGGCGAGTGCTTGCGGCCGTAGGCCCTCCGGCGCCGGACTAATTGGATCCAGATTTGGATTGGTTCGCTTCCTTGAATCTGGTTCGGAATCCGGATTCCGCAGTGAACCACCTGCTTTCGACATTTTGGCCCGAGCCGCCGTGGCCGCGGCCGCGACGGCGGCTGCGGCCGCCGCTGCTGCCGCCGTCGCACCCGCTGCCACTGCTTCGCCGTCGATCGTGCAGTCAGTAATCTGCTTGCACGACGTCTTAAATCGCACAACATCAGAGGTCGGAGTGTCTCCTTTCCGCCGTCGGCCCCCGCCACCGCCACCGCCACCGCTGCCGCCACCGCCCCCGCGGCCGCCGCCGCCGCCGCCGCCGCCCCCGCCGCCGCCGCCGCAGCTGACCTGACCCGCATGCAAGTGCGACGACCACCTTTTTGTTGAACTGACATCTCCTGGTAATGAGGAGGGTAAGGACGAGGAGGACGCCGAGGGTGCAGGCGGCCACAACATTGACGGTCCGCATATCTCCCGTGGCTGTGCATCCGCGCCGGGTACCACGTTACCGCCTCCGCCGTCGACGCCGTCGACGCCGCCGAGACCTGCACGAACCGCCGTACTGTGCTGACCGCGCGCCACGGATTTTCCCTTCCCTCGTGACGAGCTCTCTGCTGCCGCCTGGGGGCTGCCTGCGGGGCCCGCGGGTGGCCGTAGGAAAATGTGACTGTGTGACACAGGACCGGACTGCTTCTCTGTGCCGCCGGCGACGCCTGCCGGCCAACCACTATATCGCCTCGATATTGTGACATAGCCAAGCCAAAGCAGTGTATGAACGTGTACGAACTCCTTCATCTCAACGAATTCGCAGTGCAAATCCGGCAACACAAGGACCTCATGGCCTCTCTACCCCCCCCTCCCTCCCTCCCTCCCTCCCTCAAACGCCATACCTTCACTGATGGAGGACGAGGGGGGCGACGAGTAGTTGGAGGAGGACGAGCAGCATGAGGATGAGGACGAGGAAGGAGGTGAGGATGGATAGGAGCCGGAGGAGGACGCGGAAGAGGAGGAGGAGGAGGGGGAGGAGGAGGAGGAGGGGGAGGAGGAGGAGGTTTCCTGAGCTGCAGCTGCAGGGCTGCAGGAGTCTGCATGGGTCATGACCCATGTCGTGCCGCCGCTTTCAGAGCGCATCGGGCAATGCCACCAACACCAACACCACCAACACCACGACGTTGCGGCGACAACCGCAGCAGAGCTGGCGGCGGCGACTTTTGCCTCCGTGGAGCAAAAGTCCCGCCAGGTCGTCGTCAGGTACAGCACTCTCTACGGCCAGGAAAAACACACCGGCACACCCAGAGATTCGGATCCAGATGCGATACCTCTCGTGCGGACGCGTGTTAACGTCGTTTTTACCATCAACGCGTCCTACTAGGGGGTCAAACTACGTTGAATGAGTAATGTGGCCGAAACAATGGCCAAATCAGGCAATCATGCTTAATCTGCAAACGATGGTGAAAACGTCCCAAACGGTAAATACATTGCAAAGAGAAGCATACACAGCGCCAGACCAGTTCACGAGTAGTGCTACCTTCAATTTCTAGGACATGGTCCCCCTTGTTACGGACATCGCTCCTAATCATTTTATTATAAAGAGATCCTTTCCGTACCGACGGGTTACCGTCCGTAATGACGGTCGTGTGAACAGGAGCGTCACATACTGTACGGCACGCACCTGCAGCAGCACATCACGCGCCAGCTCGACGGCTGACCCGATGATGGCCTTGACGTAGTACGACGCAGCAAGGACGAGCAGAAGAGCAGCGAATGCCAAAGGACACAGGACCATTGCCTTCAGGCCGCCGCCGCCTCCGTTCGCGATGGCTGCTGTGGAGGCTGTGGTGACGGCGTTTCGTGCAGCGGCGGCGGCAATGGCGGGGGAATTGGTCGGAGTGGCGGGGCAGTTGGCGTTAACAGCGGCTGAGGCCGTAGCGGGGTTGGTGTTTATGGGATTGGCACTGCTACTGCTGCCACTGATGACGCAGCTGGCTTCGGCGCCGACACCTCCGTCACCGCGAAGCAGGGGCATCCTCGATGGCGGCAGTGGCAGCAGTAGCTGTGGTGGCGGCGGAAGTGGCGGCTGTAGCTGTATTGGTGGCGATCTTGGCGACGGCGACGACGACGGCACTAGCTCTCCAAAGTCGGTTGAGGAAAACGGAAGCGGCGCTTCATGTGGCAGGTGCTGATTTGGGGTTGTTGCTGCTTGTGCGAATGGTGGCGGCGGCGGACGAAGAGGCGGACAGGTGACAGGAGATAAAGTCGCGTGGGTCTTGTGGATTATGGGCGAAAATGGTGGTACGTCGTACTTCCAATACCCGTCATAGGGCAGCTTCCTGTCGGGGCTATCATTACTGTAGCCTCCGCTCGAAGGTGTGGCAGTAGCTTCAGAAGACGACGACGATGGCGGTGACTCGGGGAATGTTGCAGCTCCTGATCCCAGAGCCGCTACAGTCGCGGCCGCCGGCGGAGAAATGCTGGTGGTGATGCGAGCGGGAGAGGTAGGGACAGGGGGATTTGCGAGCAGGGCATAGAAAGGGGAGGATAGAATAATTTTAGTAAATATCATCCTGAAGAAATTGCAACCGATGATTTTTCTTACGGGTGCCACATGTACCCAGGGATTAAGACAGGATCCGCCGGAAGGGCGCCTCCGCTCCTTGAAGCGGAGTTTGAAGTTCTGGAAGAGCACATCCTCCCAACACGTCGCAAAGCAAGGGAAAGCAACGCGAAGACCGCCATGGAAAATGCAAGTATGTGCGGGAAGGCAGCCATGTAAGTCTGCAGAAAGCAGATGGTGAACGGAACAAGAAAATGAGGCTGATTATTGTATCAACGGAAATGCTGCTAAAGTGTGCTAAACTACGCCTGGAAGTTGGTATTGTTGTTGTCCAAAAAATGCAGGTGGATGGTAGAACGCTGCTGCGCCTGCACGGTGTGGGCAAAGCGGCCGGTTGCGCCGCGTCGCAAAAAATGATGTCATTCCGGCACCGCTCAGCAAGCCGCGGGCTTGCTGCGGTGGAGCCGCTTACATGGCGCAGCTCCAAGAACAATTTTGTAATGAAGCAGGGTATGAAACATGGACGCGAAGTCCGTCTCATCACCTGTCGTTGCTTTCAAGGTGGTCCAAAGTGACATGCCGGAGTCTATCCATTTCTCCACGCGCGCTTTCGCAAAGTTGTCGCGCGGACTTCGTGCTGTGCGGGAAAATCCCTTTGCGTGTAGGTCCGGTTGGTGCGATGCTGCAGCAGTCAACGGCGTTGTCGTGCGGGCATGACCGTGTTTTCAAATTCAGATCGTGCAATAAAGAGAACTTTTCCAGGAGACGTGGTCAAATACCTGCACGCGATGTATGTGGAGGCTTCGTCATGCGTTAAAATATCCCGGGCAATTGATATGTCCAACATAGATGAGAGCAGCTTCTCAGAATCGGCAGGATGCACGTTGCCATGTCCGATACTAGGCACGTGAGGCTTACTAGTTCGAAGCATTTTTTCTGGGACTAGCTGATGAGGTGACGGAGTCCTAGGCTTGCAGTATTAATGGTAAGCTGCCATGCGTTTAGCACAGCTTTTAAGTCTTTCAGCAGCTTGGAAAAACCTTGGAGAGCCTTGACGGTCAGGGCAAAGACACCGCGGCAGGTGCTGGTTGCAAACCGAGGCAGGCAGGATCCCAGACAGACCATTATGCCGTACTTGATATTTCCTGACAGACATCAAGAACGTGGACATCAAGTGACATGTCACCTGTACCCTTGTGGTTATTATGGGAATAGGTTAGCATTACTAGAGGGTATTATGGGAATAAGCGAAAGGGATTTTTTAAATGGCAAAGGCGTAACCTTGTTTTCCTGTCCTTGCTTTCATCGTGAACGTTGTAAAATGTGTTTCAATGGCTACGAAAACGCTGATACGTACATGCGCCACTTGCTTCCGTTTTCTGCAGCAGCAAGGCTATAAGAGGGCGTCCAAGGCTTGCGCTGGGTTGGCAGCCAGGTCTTTCCGCCGCACGACTCCGCCATGCGGCCCAACTGCTAAGAGATTGAATTTTTACGATCTCCTAGTCTAGTCTCCTAGATTACTGCTTGGCCCAGTTTGACCCTCGGGCTTCGGTCCACGTTACATGTCGGGGCTGGGATGATGGGTTTCCGCCCTTTTCTGCGCACCGTTTGCTCTATCTGCGCTTTCGCAGCAGTGTGGCAGAACCCTGGTGGTGAACGTCTCTTTGGACCTCTCCCTGGTTGTTGCTACGTGTGTACTGCTCTAAGCCGTCGGCCCAACGCTCCAACATCATGAATTTGCACGCATCGCGCTTTAGCCGCCAACTAAAAAATGCTATAGCAATGAGGGTCGGCTGACACTAGAAGATTTGCGTTACGCGAACATTAAAACATTGTTTGTACGTAGTAATGTAGCGAAGTTTCCGGGACAACGGGACAAGTGTGAGTGTGAAGTAGTCTGCCTCAGACACAAATCACTGCAAAATGCGGAAATTACAATACCCACATACGTCATGATTGCGGAATAAGATTTACAACAGGCTTTCAGGCTTTCCACCTCACACGTTCATTACACTGTGGGCTTAAAAGTCGGGGGGCCCCGGGGCCGAAACACAGCGGGGGGGGAGGGTCAGATGCACGCGGCTGGTTAATCTCATGCATTCCGCCCAACCCACGAGGTACGGCGGCCGGCAGTAACAGTAAGCAGCGTTCCCCACCGGGGGGCAGCGCTGCAGCTAAACGGGCTCTAGACCCAGCATTAGCCCAGCGGAGCCTCTTTAAAATGCTCGTGCGTTTTGCAAATTTCTTCTGCTTGAGCAATATAGTTTAGCACATTTAGCAAAGTACCTTTTAGGAAATCGCGAAATAGGCGGTGGGAACGGAGCGTTGTCTATCCCCTCTAGGGCTGCCTGAATTGGTGCCCTTGTGCAAGAACAAACTTTTTAAATATTTATTTAAATATTTTGTAGCTCTTCATCAAGATTACTTCTGGGCCAAATCGTGTAGCTAAGTTAGGGATGCTCGTCATTTCAACTCAAGGTGCAATGACGAGGATTGGACCCTAAAACCTGTTCGACCAAGTTTTGAAATTCGCTTCTGTACAGTGTCCCTTGTACAGCGTCCCACCCCTCCCTCCATCATTCATTTTTTTCAAGTACGGTGCCCTTGAGTACTGAGCGGGGCGCGGGCCCAGGTGGTGCAGCCTATCAGTGGTTGAAGGGAGGCAGGGCAGAGGTCGTGTGACTACCCCCGCCCGAATGAGTAGTCCTGTCCATGAGTTCGAATAGTTTTGTGGGTGCATTTGGAGGTGATGGATTTTTTAATACCATTTTGACCAAGCGTTTTTTTGTTTCATTGGTTGCGGAGGAGTTCAGGAGACTGACTCGATTGCAAGTATCATATGATTTGCGCCATTATGCAAAAGGTGAATATAGCTGTTTATGTTGGCAGGGAAGGAAGAAAGGTAAGGAAGGAAGGGAAGGAAACCCCCTTATGCGGCCCAAGCCAACGCCCCAATTACATGGCCTTCCTCTGTAATCATGAGCACCAGAAATGTGCGGTAGTGTGACCAGCAGTACCAGCGGCTGCAGTATATAGCACGGGTATCTCAACAGCCCGGAGCTCTTTTAAAAGCCTGCAACGAAAAAAAACACAGAAAGAAAAGGACTAAACCGACATAACAAAAAGCTGCCTCTAGATACATACCTCTTACGAGGCTATAGCCACTGGGAAAAGAAACTGGGAAGAAAAATTCAATTTCCTTCTCGACGCCTGGGCGCATAATGTCAACCCCGTCGATTCTCTTCCCCGTTCCCCCGAAGCGATGTGCCCTCTTACGAAGTGAAGCGACACAACGCGACAAGTTGTGGGTCGGCGGCGGTGTACAGCACCGGCACCGTTATTCAGGCGGCCTTGCGAAGAACAGGGAAAACAGGGACCCTACATCGACAATTGAACACTGCATGCAAACATAACACTCTCACAGCCTCCTATACGTGAACTCATGCAAAAACAGAAGCACCAGACAGACAGACAGATATCATTCCGAATATGTCTGGTACGAGCTGCAAGGAACTTCGGAAGTTTATGTTGCAGCAGCAGCAGCAGCACCAGCAGCGCTACCACCACCAAAAACAGCGCTAAGGAGCGCAGTTTAGGTTCCCCCTCGTAGTCGCCCCAAGCACACCAACCCCAAGTTGTCAGAAATTACCAACGAAAGCAGCTACAGCTACAGCAGCATATACCCACAAAGATATAAACACACACAACGTGCCATACCCCACCATAACCAAACACACGAAGATATGGAAACGCCACCACTGGATTACCAACGGCGGCACGCATCGAACCTGATACCGCCAGGCCCTACGTACGGGCCCCCAAGTGAACTGGCCAATAGCCGCATTTGCCCCTTAGCTCAATGGCCAATGAGGGGGCGCACGCTATGCAACATTGACCTACGAGAAACCCCCCACCAGCGAGCGCTAGAAACACGCAAACAAACAAATTCACCCGCACTTGCCCTCCCCGAAACGCCCTCCCCCCCCTCCATGCCCCGTTCATAACACCCATGTGCATGGCGTCACACACCGTCAGCCCGAAGAGATCATAAGTTCAGTGGTAGCGCCTCGCAGTAAGCAGCCAGGGGTCAAGAAAGCTCCACAACCTCCAAACCCGCCGGTACGACATGATACGAAAAAACCCTGTCTGCCCTGCCGTACATTGGCCCCCGCCTCCCCCGCAGTCTACGCTCTACAGCCGCCACCCGCGACCCACCTCCTCCGCACTATGCCTTTCCGATGCTCCATTGGCGATAACATGTGCGCAGCATCTACTCCATACACTACGAAAACAGAAAACGCACACCACCACCACCACCACCACCAGAAAGACGTACCGCGACATACCATGCTCTGCCCTTTCGCCAATTATGCATCTTAACGTATGCTGCTGACATACTGCTCTGCTTCCTTCCGTACTTACTCTTCCGTACAAAAACCCACAACAAGACTTCGACACATTCGCACACACACACCACGAGGTCCACGAATACAGTGCAATGCACACACACACACATCATATTCCTGGCGGCGGCGGTACATACATACATACATACACATCGGTATTTCTTTAACACCCTCACCCCATGGAGATGCAGCTAATTTTTTCCATACGGTTCGACTGCCGCAGGTGTTCACATGTGTACCACATCCCTTTGGCCCCCAAAGAGCGCAAAGCCACAGCACCCGGCAAACCACACTCCGCCAGCGCGGGCCGTCGGCGCCGCCAGAAGCGCCCACAGGCCGCTGTCAACCCGACAGTCCCCAGTGCGCGAGCAGGCTCTTTAAAACGAAGGCTGTCTGCCAAGTAGTGCCCTGCGGGGTGCTCATGAAGAGCCACGTGCTGGGTTCCGCTGCACTCCAGACCTGGCAGCCGCGCTGCCGCCCATCATCATAATCATAATACCACCACCATGATTATCATCATCATCAGCAGCAGCAGCAGCAGTTTCTGCCCTTCTTTTCCCAAAGCCGATGTGCCGCACCGAGACAACGACGACTGCAACAACTGTGACCGCGGGGCAGGTGTGCAGGAAATGGCGCACAGCAAACACAGGCCCCACTACCGCCACTACAACCACCACCACCACAGCCATCACCGGCACCAGGGGGGGCCCCGCATCACGGCCCCACGGCGAACGGACTCGGACAGCAACAAGGGGCTCCAGAGGGAGGGCGCCGCAGCTCGCGGGGTGCACTCAGTAGAGAGGGGCCCCCGCCGGTAATGTTCTATCGGTAATGCTCTCAGCAGGCTCTTCAGGGGCACCGCCAAGAGGGGGCCGTTTTGGTCGGCAGCCGGTGATGTCGGATACTCGCTATATCCGGGCGGCTATATCCCAGAGCTCGGGTTTAATGGCCCCGGGGAAAGGGCGAAGGGAAGGAGAGAGAGGGCAGGGAAAGAGGGACCGGTTCGCGGAACCCCGCATTCGCAACAGCTGCCGCCTAACGGCTCCTTCCAGGCTCTCCGCTGTACGCCGCTGTGTGATGCCGCAGCCGTCACAGCAGCAGCACAGTCCCCGCCATAACGCGGAGGGCCAGGAGCAGCAGCGGTCATGCTGCAGGTCCCCCGCGTCATCGAGTGGTGCGGCTACTGCTGCTGCCGGTTCCTTCTCCTCTCCTGTCTCCTGTTCTGTGTCCCCCGCTGCTCCTCCTCTCCCTCCCCCCCCTCCTGCTGATTCCGGCGGATCTTCCCCCTCCGCCCCCTCTCACTCTCCCGCACCACACATAACACCAGATCACATCTTGGCGGGTTGCTGCACCAGGCAGATGAGCACTGTGATGTCGTCCATCTTACCGCCCATGTACGCAAAGCCAGCCTGCGGAGGAGCCGTGGGTAGGGTAGGGGTAAAGGGGTCGCACAGGGCCACGGGACCTTTAGGAGGCGCCGTTGACCAGGAAAAGGCGTTTCACCAGAGAAGCACCACACACGCTTACCCCCCCGCCTACCCGCCCGCCCAAAACACCAAAAATAAACGTACCCTTCTTTCTCCCCCTTTAACCCCCCTACATACATACATACACACACGCACTCTTACACCGCGCACACGCACATCCCGCATACGCACAGCCAGCCGGTCACCGGCACCAACCTGGAACGCGGAATACGCAAAGGGCGACGCGAACTTCGAGTCCGATGCGCGGTGTCGTGCGTAGTGCGCCACTACCTCAGCCATTTTGGGCGCGTCCATGGACTGATCCCTGCAGTACCGCAACACGCAGGCCAGCTCCTCGTCGAAGCAGTTGTCCCACAACCCGTCCGTTCCAAGGAGGATCAGGTCTCCGGGTTGCACACGAATCTTCATGAGGGAGGAGCGGGAACCCAGGGGGGTGGTGGGAGGGGGTAAGGGGGGAGAAGACGAACCACGAACGAGTTAAGCTGCTGCCAAGGAGCAGAGCTGACCAGTAGGCGTAGGGGAAGGGAGGGGACACATACGCATGTTGTTCGCGATCAACATAAATGGTAAGTGGCAAATACAAAAACAGAACTGTGTCGAGGTCCAAGCAGCCACGCGATTGATGAGGACATGGGAAGGGAAGGGATCAAGTAGGGAGAGAGGGGGAGAGAGGGGGAGAGAGGGGGGCCGAGAGAAGGGGAGAGAGAAGAACCACCAAGAGGAGGAGGGGACAGAAGGGGAAAGAGTGACACCCAGATAGCCCAGGCAAGCGACGCGGTTGGAGCGGAAGGGACTAGGGGCTAGGTATTGGAGTTGGAGAAAAACAACCGCAACCCCGGCTGGCTTCAGGCAGCCAGCTGTGGGGGGAGGTGTGTGTGTGTGTGTGTGTGCGCAAGTGTGTTGGGAGGGGAGAGAGCGGGAGTGGGCCGTGGGCAGCTCAAGGAAACAGTGCAGGCAGGAAAGCAGGCACCGACCACAGGTGGACCCTGCAAATCGTTCCCCCGCTTACTTCTTGCCGCGTCGCTGCTTCCCTGCCTTACCCCTAGGCCCCCCCTCCCCTGGACTTTTCCACCAGCACCCCTTATCCTGCTCGGCCGCACCTCGAAGCGCTGTGCGGACTGCGGCGGGTCGGACATTGAGTCGGGGGACCCTATCTGGTAGGGGAAGTTGAAGCCATGTTGCTGCTGTGGCGTGTGGAACGCCACAGCGCCTGGGGCAGCGGTAAGTGTGGAAGTGGAAGTGGGAGTGAACTACATGATACTGGTAACGGTAGTGATAACGACAACGGCGATGATGGTTCATTATGATAATGACAATGACAATGGTGATGATGATGCAAGAGGACCCGAACAGGGGTTTACTGAGGCAAATGACATCCAGAAGGGGCATCCGCGGAGGGCCCATTCCACACATTACTTCGATTACCCTTCCTATCACTCTACCCATCCCCCATCCCCATCCCCCGCACCTGCTCTCAAAATTAGCAGCCCCGAGTCGCCCAGATTTGAAACCGCCAAGTGGTCGCCATTCAACACCGCCACACACGCAGTAGAGGAGCCGCGGACGGTGGTCAAGCCGTAAGCACGCTCCAAAATCTCCTGCGCCGACAACTCCACCTGCGGTTCACCGTCCCCTGCTGCTGCTGCCGCTACGCTGGATTCAGCGCCGCCGTCCCCATTGCCTCGAGTGGCCGCATCTGCGACGTCCGCGGCATTGCGCATCAGCTGCCGTGCGTAGGCCCCCGCATCCACCCCCACCTCGGCCTGAGGGGTTGGTTGTGGTGCGGTGCGGCGTTGCGACGATGGGCGCACATGGAAACACATGGGGTGATTGCAAAGCAGGGAGCGGGAGGACGGGCGTCGAGGAGGACAGTTGCTGTTTGCTCGAGGCTCAGGCGAAAGACGGCCACAGAAACGTGAAGATGGGTTTGAGGGGGGGGGAAGGGAAGGGAAGCAACATGGCTTCCTCTCAGAAAAAGCAGTGATGGCTGCGCTCGTTGTCCTCCATTCCTTAAGAATGTTTCCGCCGGCATAATTCCCCCGGCCTTGCTGCCAGCTGACCCGCCTTTTCAAACACCCAAACTCCCACCCACTCCCATCTGCCCATCCCCTTCTCTCCCTCTTGCATCCTTCTAGCTGTCCTATCCAAGGGTCCGCCCATCACACCATTCTTTTCCCCCCCTCCTCCGCCTCCTCCTCCTTTACCTCTCCATCCGCAGCCTCACCCCAGGCCCCCCCACACACACGCGCGCGCGCATACACCCTTAGCTTACCCATCCGCCCACTCCATCCGCCACTCCGACTGCTCTGCGGTTTTTGGCGATGAAGTACCAGTCCTCCCCGCCCTTATGCATCTTGTCGGGGTGCGGCAGCACGAAGGCCCCCGCGGTGAGCACCAGATTGGCAGAGCTGTATGTGCGTGGAAGGCGGAGACGGAGGAGGAAAAGAGGAGGGCGGCTGTGTATGAGTGTGTGTGTATGTGCGTATACGTGCGTGGGCGGGGAAAACGGGGGATGTGGAGGAAGGATCCTGTGCGGGGTGGATTTACGCACAGCAGGGCTGCCGGGTGGAAAGGAGGGCCGGAGTGATTCCTCCGGAGGGGATCGTCTGAAACGTCTGCCGAGTCGGAGTGCGGTGTTGCCGTTCGTAGGTGGAAAGAGGACGACTTGAATTATTTGCGAATGCAATGGCAAGGTCGGTGATCTTGACCGTTGATCTTAACGGTCAAAAATTAAGATCAAATTCGACCTCGGGAGGAGACACTTTGACCCCTGACCCAATTAACCTAATTCAAGGATGGTCAAATTTTATACTCGTCCCGCCCGCACGCCTTCTCGCGAAAGGAAATACAAAATGTGAACGACAAGGGTCCGGAAGGGACAACCGGGGGACCCGGGGTCAGGCCAAAGAAGCTGGACCTAACGAGACGTGGCACTTCTCAGACTCAAGATCCAAAAAGATCCACAGAGGAGGACCCAGGGAGCGGGAGCCGTTGACCTGAACGAGGCTTTGACCCAAATGCCTGAGGACGGGGGAAGGGTTGTGGCTTATCCGTACCTGTCGGGTTTTCCCATGCTTTCTTTCGGGACTTGCGTCGCGACTGCGGCTGCCACGCCGAAACCTGAAGCAGAGGCAACTGGCTCCTCGGTCGTGTAGGATGCCGCTAGGGCTTCGTCGGCAATGCAGCTCATCGCGACGAGGGAGCCGACCCGCAACAACCCTAAGGATGCAGCGCCCTGTTTGGAGAGGCGGTAAAAGCAGCACGGCGACTTGGACAAGGACTCGACAAGTCCAAGCTAGGCGGGCCGATGGTCACCTATAATATCCCACAGACTGCAGCGAAATCCATGTACGTCAAACACGCTTCGCCCGTTAAGAACTCACCCTGCTTGCTGAGCCCCACTGGGAAGGGGCCGCCGCTTGGAGTTGGTGATGTTGAGCGACGGAGGGCCGGGTAGCTAGCAGCTGAAATCCAAGCCTTGAGCATACATTTTGCCTTGCTGCGGCCGTTTGCTGTTGGGCTGCAGCTGTCCGGTAAAACATTGCAGAGAAAAAATTTAGGCTGCTCTCGAGAAAGCTGCTGGACGACCGGCGTGCAAAGAAAGCAAGCATTCACGGGCGGAGCCGCCCCAAACGATGCAACAGCACGAACAGTAATCAGACGAAAAGGGTAGGCCAAGAAGGAAACGTACAGGTTCAGAAGTCATACAACATAGGGTTCAAGCCAGAGTGCCAAACAATGCACCAGCCGGTACACAGAAAGTATTGTATCCCTTTAAAAAGTTTAGTTCAGGAAGAACGCAATCAATCCGAAATCTACAGAATGCCGTACATGAGACCAGGTGAGGGGCTGTCCTGGATGTGCCATTGCCATTCTTGTACATGGTAAGGATCGGAGTTATATATCAGCTGGAGGTCCTGCTGAAGAATGACGTAACATATGAAGTTAAGGGGCCCTTGTGTAAGCGGAGAAGCAAATATTGATATGCATAGTTGAAACCGCTCTTGGGTGGATACACTTAGACCCTTGGCTCAAAGTGGCCCAGGAGCCACTTTGGAGCTGGCCCTGTAAGCAAGCAGTAAGCCCAGATTTTGCCAGGAACGGACAGAACGAGCTGCTGGGTAGAAACTTTCGTGCAAAGAATTCTTGAGACAACAGCCACACAGCGCGCAACCGTAACCCTCTTCATCACCACACGAGGAACGAAAGGGTCCACCACGTTGGGATGAAGCTGAACGTCTCTTTGAATTGCTTACTCAAACCTTCTCCATGGGTGAGGTTCGCTGAATGGTTGCATCAAAATCTATCACGCACTGCTGTGTGAACTGCGGCACGCACCTTCGTTGTTGCTGCAGCTAGCTTAAGGCTCTCGTGCGGAAGCGAGAGCGATGCACAGAATGTTGAAGGGAGCTTCGGGGTAGCAGTGTAGGGAGGTTATGCTGCTGAAATCTGCGTTGACCTGGTTGTGGTGAGATAGGGGTGCGTTACTTCAAGCACACGATTTCGGATGTTGCAAAGAAGTGGACTGTCGCATACACGCAAGGCTACACGATCGCACACCTCACGCACGCTTCACCTGATCTTTCGGGGTCGAATGCGCTGGGGTCAGTGCCGGAATGCTCGTCAAAATCGGCAAAAAATTGTCGCCAAAAGGGATCAATGTCCCATCCAATCCAATCCCATCAGCTTCCCCTCAGAACAAATGCCACTCGCACCGTCCGCAACCATCCGCGCATCCTTCCCTTCCGTACTTGACCCCAAGCTGAGTGAAGGCACACGTACACAGGAACACTATTGAGAAAAAATGCTGCACATGCTCTACCCATCGAGGCCGCGACGGCTCAGATACTGCACTGTATCTGTCGCCGCCATCTCGGAGCAAGCACACGCTCAATCGCAATACAATACGGAAAGGCAGCAGCGTAAACAGCTCCATCGCTGATGCGGCTCGACAGGATCTCCAGAAGGCCGCCAACGGTCAGCCACTGCTGTTATCGAACTTCACAGCCAGGTTGTCAGCGTCACAACCAAAGGTGTCCTGTCTCGAACCAGCTTGCAAATCAGCGACACCTGACAGAGATGTCAGAGATGTCAGCTGACAGAGATGTCAGGAGCACCAGATCCTGCCAGGCATGAACCACTGCTGTTCTGGGACGGGATGGCGGTCAGGCTTCTGATCCTGATACTGTGTGCAGGTTCCGAGCGCCTGGCGACCCGCCATCACGGGCAATTTGCTTTCCGTCCCCAGTATTGAGAACTTTGCAAGCTGATTCTTCGTACCGCACAGCCGCTATCTGAGCAAACAGCCACCTTCCAGGTCAACTCGTGCACGCGACGGCGCTGAAAACGCATGAAGACAAACCCCCGCGCCCGCCAAGCGGGGAGCCGCCAACAGCAGCGACAAGATTTGCTGCCATTAATCAAGGAACCAAAGGAACCCTCAACACCGCGATGAGGAGAGAAAGCGAGAGGGGCATCTTTATAGGCCCTTCAGGCTGCTGGCCAGACCGGTAGTGGATGCCCAGCTCTGCAGATCCGATACAAGGCTAACGAACTGACGCTTGGATGCCGCCGCGTCGCCTGAGGCAGCTGCGGTCTGGACACCCTGAATGGCGCTGCTCAGCTTGCCAGCGGCATCAGTTCCCGAAACGGTACTGGCCACCGAGGTGAATTCCGCGACCCAGTCCTCAGAGAGAGTGTTGGCAGCGCCCTTGAGATCACCTGACTCCAGCTGGCTGCCGGATTTGGCCAGCTTGTACACTGCCTTCTGCACCGGCACTAGCTCCTGCTCAAGGCGGACGTCCTTCAGGTTTTCCGACGTCATGAAGTCGCGCGTCACACCGCGCTGCTGAGCCAGGCGGGCGCGGCGGTTCGCCTTGGCCTTCTCCACGAGATCCTCGTCTTCCTCATCTGTGCAGATGCAGTGAAGTGCCGAGTTCTGCCTTGAGATTTGGGGCTGACTGGCACATGACCATGACTTACAATAAACTTGCTATAGTGGAAAGGCAGAGATCGGCGTCAACTTTGCAGCTTCGATATAAAGAACTACCCATACAAAAACGAATGATAACGCATCATGGCCTTACTTGTGCAAACCTTGCGGGTGCCGCTGGCCCAGCCACAAAAAGCCCCTGGCCGACTTACCAGGAATAAGTGCAAGCGCCTTAGGCGCATACAACAGTGCCGGAAGCAAAGAAATGCCCAGCATGGCGCGACGAGACGCCACATGACGCTCCGTCGCCTGGCAAACCACAAGGCAGCCGCGTCGAGACGCGCGGACAGGGCACACAGCAGCCTTCTGCATCATAGTGGCCATCTTATCTATGCTTCCACTCTGCAAACAATAATACTTATAGTTCCATCAGTCCGTTTCTTACAATCCCACACCAGCGGTGCAAGTTGTACTTGCACGACACAATAATGAAGGGATTGGACCGAAGATTACAGTTTCGACATGCAATTCCTGGCATGCCAGTATTCGTATGTCTTATTTGTTAAGTTGCGAGGACTTTGCCTAGGGCACCTGGAAACTATATAGTCAACTGCCTGACAATGGCTGACGGAGGGGACCCGTCCCCTAAGAGGCAATGTGTACAAAGTATACAGACGGCAACGCAAATGTTTGTTACCCTGCCAGTTGGCCAGGGCAACGTCAGTATTGGGCAAGAAGACTCTTATCGCGACACTTCGGGGAGCATTCCACAGCCACAACAAGTACAACGGACTGCGGAAAACCTCATCTCAGAACGTGCGGGGCCTGGTCCATTGTCGGCACGCGATCGGGAGCGTATAGCGCCAGGTGCATACTCCCAGCGCGAGGAGGCTCTCGTAAAGCGCGAGCAGGACGGGGATATAGCCTTTAGATACGTCCTCAACAACGATGACCCGCAAAACCTCATATTCCTGGTCGGCCTGAAGAACATCTTCTCTAAACAGCTGCCAAACATGCCCAAGGTATGGTATCACGGAGGCACGCGTGGGGCTAGTTGTGCCACAGAGGCACAGAGCATTGGCTAAAGAATGGGGGACGCAAGATGGGCGAAACCGCGTGCTTGGGAAGGCCATGGAGCGTGTAGGCGATAGTGGGCCGGCTTGTCGTTGACCAGTGGGATCTGTGTAACGAAGGAGAACGGTACGCACGGGAGAGGAAGCACGTGTAACCTTAGCCAGCTTAACCAGAGGGTACCCCAAAGACAAACTTCAGAACAAACTTCAGGGCAGTCACTGGATCTGGGACTGTGTATGACGTGCGGGGATCCCACAGGCTTGCAGGTCCGAGTAGCAGCCCGGATAGAACCCCTGCATCACGACACGCAACCAAGTGTATCTTTGTGCGCGCTGCGTAACCCCACGATACATCACACGCGAAGGCAAAAGCCCTGTCACATGCATGCTCCGTTCCCCTTACGAAAGTTATGCATGTCCCGCGCTGGCACGCGCACTTGTGTTGGGTTCCCGGTTCCCACAGCAGTTCAAAAACATCCCCCCCCCGCCATCTTCCCTGTAACCAGTTTACCACGAAGCTTCGTGTGTTAGACGTGCACACACGCCCTATCGCCCCCAGCTTACGCCTTTTCTGTCGGCCACATGCTCCGTGCGCCCACCCTTGACTGAGCTCCCGGTAACCTAGGCCCCCCCTCACTTTGCGCGCGCCTTGGGACCCTCGGTTCGATGGGTTTCATGGGTGAATCATACCGCGGCACATCCTTAATAAAGGGTTTTCGCATTGCGTATCTGACCCCACAGAACGCGAGAGGCCCGCCGACGTTACAATCAAAGCCTGCGCACCGACCAGCGCTGTTCCTGTGTGCATGATCCCCTACCATTACAGGATTTTACCGACATGGACAATGGCGGGGTCGGCCTTGATGTGTCCACATCCCTAGCTCTTTTGCCCTTCAGATACGCCCATCGCTTGAGGGGGACTTTCTCCTCCTCATCCTTTGCCATATGTATCTCTCATGGTCCTCCCCCCCGGCCGCCCAATCCGCACGGTTCTTACGTCCCCGTAGGAGTACATCGTCCGGCTGGTGTTTGACCGCCGGCATCGTTCCGTGGCGTTGCTGAAGCGCAACGGGACAGTCATCGGTGGCATCACCTACCGCGCCTTCCACGCGCAGGCATTTGGCGAAATCGCCTTTTGTGCCGTGACATCCCATGAGCAGGTCAAGGGCTACGGCACGCGGCTCATGAACCAGACGAAAGAATTCGCGAGGACGATGGACAAGCTGACCCACTTCCTCACCTACGCCGACAATAACGCGGTGGGCTACTTTGAGAAGCAGGGCTTCACGCGCGAGGTCACCTTGGAACGCGAGCGATGGCAAGGGTACATCAAGGACTACGACGGCGGCACGCTAATGGAATGCGTGATGCACCCGCGTATTTCCTACACGGCCCTACCGGACATGATTCACAGGCAGCGCATCGCGCTGGACGACCGGATTCGCGAGCTCTCCCAATCGCATGTGGTGCGGCCCGGGATGACCCTCTTCGCGGCGGCGGCTGGCGCAGGGGCTGCTGCAGTCCGGCCAGCCCGGTATACCTCCATTCCCATCGGGGACATCCCCGGTGTGCGGGAAGCGGGCTGGACGCCTGCGCTGGCGGCCACGGCGATGCAGCAGCAGGGCGCCCCACGTTACCGACTAGTGCTCGAGGACCGAGGCCCACCGAAGGACCCGACGCCGGAGAACCTGCGGGCGTTTCTGTACAACCTGTTGGAGCACATTCAGGGGTTGGAGGAGTCTTGGCCGTTCAAGGAGCAAGTGGCGGTTCAGGACGCGCCAGACTACTACGGTGAGTAGTGGCGCTGATGATGGGGGGGGAAGGGGCAGGCAGGCAGCTGGCCCTCTGACCCTTTCGTTTCAAGTGGTACTGCGAATTGCGTGGAATCGAGGCAGGGGGCTGGTCTGTGGTAGCGCTGCAGATTTTTAGCCGATATGAGGTATTTGGGAACGGGATAGTCACTTAGAGGGTACCTTCGTGACGGGGGAGCTAGCAAGTTGTTCGGCAGGTTCTTCAGGCTCGGGCTTATTGCAGATTTTGAAGGTAGAATGACAGGAAAAGCTTAGTTGGCTGAAGCTGGGCTGTGCAAAGCAAGTGTTGGGTACCTTTTTTGTTGTCGTATATGCTTGGAAGAGGACACGGACGACTTGCCAAGGGCCCTAGTTTAACATTTGAGGTGTGGAACCCAAAATCGCCTCTGGACCGCTGTGGGCTCAACCATATGTATTCTCATGCCGTCCCAGTGGTGCTTTGAAATCAACTATTTAGCTGCTGATGTCGCTGTTCCTCTTTTTCTCTCTCTCTCTCGCCTCCGCACAGACGTGATCAAGGACCCTATCGCGCTCGACGTGATGGAGGCTCGTCTCTCCTCCGGTTGCTTCTACGTCACGTTGGAGATATTCAACGCTGACCTGCGCCGCATCTTTGAGAACTGCCGCTTCTACAATGCGCCTGACACCATTTACTACAAGCTCGCCAATAAGTTGGAGTCCCTCGTCAACCAGTATCTGACCACGCACTTGTTGTTTGAGGACGAGGGAGGCAACCCGCATCCGGAATAGAGCCCGTCAGCGTCTGCATGCTGTCCAGTGCGCTTGAGGAAGCGGGCGTGAAGGGGCATAGGTGCGGTTGCTGAGGGCCTGTGTAAGTGTGTGTATATAGGTGTAGGTGAATGGATGAGGTGACAAGCATCGGACTCAACCCATAACGTTCGGGAGTTGGACATGTACACTGGGCCTAAAGCAAACACCCGTGCTGTGCTAACGTACCCCACGTAAGGAAATGCTTTGCCGTACCTTGTCGGCATCAGCTCGGCTGCTTTGTACTGCCATGACCTATAGCTAGATTCTCCACGGCGGCAGTGGTGGCGTAGCGGTGGCGCTTCCATCGTAGCTGTGCCTAATTAGATACCAGATGTTGGGTGGAATGCAAAGACCATTCCCGTGTACATAGATGTTACATATCGATGTTACATATAGATGATATTGTGGTGAGATGTTAGGAACTGCACACGTTGCGAAGAAGCTTCTTACGGCCGGAGCCATGCACTTACGTGCACTTCGTCTCCCCACATGGGATGTGCTGGACCAGGAACTGGGACCCGACCTGCCCGTCCGAGCCGTTACTTATTCTTCCTGCGGCCTTCCGAGCCGTTACTTACTATGTACTATGACATAGATAGGGATAGCTGCAGCTTTGAACCTCTTCTTGGCGCAACGCAACATTCAGAGCGCTCCTATTTTGTCTTCATACACTGCTGCTTCCGCTTGGCTTCCAAACAATGAGAAGGTAACTCGCGGACGTGCGAACAAAAAGTTATAAAGTTCCGGAGGGAAAAGGTAAAGCAAAGCAGTGGGTCAGGTATGAGGACCGTATGCACAAACCAGCGTCGAACCCTGCTTTACAGGCCGACCATACCACCAACGCCAGGACTGTCTAATATAGTTTACACAGGCACCAACATGCCGACAAACAGCACACTCCTCGTAAGCCCACAGCGCCCCCAACAGCTGTATTGTGGCCAAACTGCACGAGAGTACCGGCCATCCTGTCCCGCCCCGGTGCCCTTCCTCCCCACCGACCAGCAAAGAACACGAAACCACTCCACCTCGTCCCATCTCGCTTCTGTTGCCATTCACTATCCAAAAGCCGCCTTCCTAGGTTGTAATTCCACCTTCCAGGGCGTACTAAGGCGCACGAAAGCGTAGTAAGGCACACGAAACCTTTCAACCCGCTTCTTCCCGAGCGCCACGACTGGTTTCCGGGGTCGCCGTGTTTCCCAATACCCCATATATCAGGGGCCCCCCTCCTACCAGCCACTACTTCAAACCTTTCATCACCGACACCTTCAAACCATTCATCACCGACACCGCGCGCATCAGGCACAGCATGCCCCTCCTCCAGCACTATCCAACAAGCACGCAAGGGACCTCTACCTACACGCCCTTTCCGCTCTTCAGACCTGCTGGTAATGGTGCAGGCGGTACAGCAGCGCGCGCCCCTTGGCATTACCGATTGCCAGTAAGCCACAGTGCGGGCTGAAGTCGGCGCAGTGGACGTAGTGTAGCGGGGTGCGGCCCGTGGGCCAGTTGGCGAAGACGGTGAGGGACGGCAGGTGCACCAGCCGCAGCGAGTCCCGCTTCATGCGTGACGACATGGCAAGCATCTGTGGGTGTGGTAGACACCGTGATGTCGGGGTGAGGTAGTGGAGATCGAGGTTTTAGAAGGACCACGGAAGAACCAACGGAAAATCTGCTGGTAACCAGCAAAGTAGTGTAGTGAGGTTGCAGGACGGGGTCGACGGAATCGCGCATTCAGACCGAACAGGTCCGAACACCCGCTCAAGCTTCCGGATCATACGGCCATACAGCAATCGGTGGTGTGTGCGTATATGTGTTTTGTGCGGGAGATCCAGTGAGGTGTTGCAATCCGTGCCTTGCGTAGGTGCACATGCAAAAATACATTATTTGTTGCCGTCACATCTGGATACTCATCACACATCTGGAAATTCGTCATCACGCCATAGTTCCCGGGAATCCATCCATCAGTCAGCTTCCTCCAGCTTTTTCTTTCCTCTCAGCTCCCCAACTACGCACCTGCGAGTCGGGGCTGAACACCAGCATATCCACATCCGTCGTCAGGTTGAGCAGCTCCCGTGCAGGCGCCACCGACACACGCCCCGAAACCAAACCACCACTGCCGCCACCAGCACCCGCCGTCCGTGCTGCCGCCGCCGCCTCCACTTCCGCACGACGGTACACGTTCACGACCCCCGACTTGGCGCCTGTGGCAATGTAGCTGCCGTCCGGCGACAGTGCCAGACTTGACGCGTCCCCGATGTTGCCCAGGTCTGTGAAGGCAAGGCGGCAGCGCCGGGTACGCAGGTCCCACAAGTGAACCACACCGTCATCACCTGCGAGGGGGTTTACGAAAGCAAACGACATGTAGGCAAGGCAGCTTAGATGTCGGGGTTTTTAAAAACAAATAATGGGGCCACGTAACAGCAAAACAACACGAATAGAACCTTGGCGGTAGGATTAGGTAGGATTGGGGTTATGAAAAGGGGGGCACGAAAACGCCAAAAGCATTAGTAGTAGCATTAGTAGTAGCACGGTAGTAGCAGCATTAATAGTAGCAGCAGCTGCTGACAGGTACCTAAGATTTTTTTTACACATCCCTTTGCTTGCGCAGCTGCGCTCCTCTTCACCGCGACCCAAATTCACGTCCCCAATCCAGCCACCACCACCACCCCGGTTCAAAACCTGTTGACAGCAGCTCCGTTCCGTCGTGTGTAAAAGCCAGCGCCCTCACATTGCCGCTCATTTTGAGGTTCGCCACCCACTGGCGGCTGCGAAGGGACACCAGGGGTATGAAGCCGCCGTCCCCTGTGAAGGCCACCAACGGCTCCGAGGACGGCCCACTGGACAGGGGGCCCCGGGGGACGCCAGGGTGCGCGGGAGGGGTGGGGGGTGGGGGGGAAGGGCGGGAGATGAGAACAGTTAAGGGTGTAGGTGCGAGAGATGAGGTGGGGGAGATGGGAAACCCGCGTACCCGCATCCATACCATACCAATACAACGTCCATGGCCCCCCGGCTTTTACGGACACACCCGCGCTTGTGTGCGGAACTTGTAACTCTAATGGGACACGGAATGCAGGGGGGGGAGGGGAACTGCAGGGACCAACTCAACCCAGCACACACACGCACACACACGCACGCACGAGCAACACTCGCCATGCTCTTCCTCCTCACACGCACAGACGCACACCCTTTCTTTCCCCCCCCCACACACACGCAACCCACAATCCACAAAAAACCTCTCTTCCTGTCCGCTGTCTCTCCCCCCCCCCGCGCAAGACCTTCCCACGCCACTGCACCGGCTCCTCCTCCTCCGTTATCCCTTCTCTCTCTCTGCATTCTGCATGTATGCGACAGCCCCCTCAGCTATACGTAGGTACACGGAGGACCCCGGCCAAGTGTCACCAGGGAAAGGTGGGGAGAAAGGTGCCAGCAGGACGCTGTCCCAACAACAGGACCTGGAGACCCGCACCCGGAGCCGCTGGAAGGGACCTTTTCTGGCCCCTGTCGAAGCTCGAGGCCCTACCACTGCTGCTGCAACCCTCTCCCTCAACCCTCAACCCACCCCACCCCACCCCCCACCCCACCCCGCACAAACAAACAAACTCACCTAATCGGGGGGGACAACGCGAACCGCTCCAAGGACTTGAGCGGGCAGCCGGCGGGACCCAGCACACGCTCCACTCGCGCTGCACCCATGTCGTACACATAAAAGTGCGGCCGCCGCCCCGACATCACCACCCGGTCTGGGCCGCCGCTGCTATCTGAGCTGGAGCCGGCGGCAAACTCGGCTTGCGTGATGGGCATGTCGTCTAGGTGTAAGGATTGGACGAGCGGGTTTCGGAGGCCGTCCACCTGGAATAAGTGGAGCTTCTTGTCGAGACCCGCTGTGAGCAGCAACTGCCGAGGGAAAGGAGGTCGGGGAGGGGGGAGCACGTGATGACTCGCGCTACTAAGGGGGGGGTGTCCAGGACCGGTCCGGCATGGGGAGCTGAGCGGGGGGCCCCCGGCAACTCGGTGGACAGCACTTGGGGGGGATGCTACCCATCCAGGTTCCCCCTTTCCAGGGAAGTGTATCATACAGGTAAAGAAAAGCACGGTGAGTGCCGCCCTGGCAGCAGTGCTCCACAACAAGAGCAGGAAGATGAGAAACTTGGTTGGCCGGTAGAGCTGGGGGATACGTTTGGGATGCGGTGGAGGTGAAGGTCAAGGGCGGTTTCGGGTACCCAATCCAATACCGTTTTTTTCCTTTACCGCATCTCTCTCCCTCCTCCTCCTCCCCCTTTCCAACACTTAATAAAAGCATTTTCCAACACTTTCCAACACTCTTAAAAACAGCGCTGGAGAAGACTTCAACTCAGGAAAACCGTGCTGGTTAGCAAAACAGCAAAGAGTTTTTAATCACTAGTTGTTGCTGCGTTTGTTGTAAGGGACGCAGGCGCCGAGGAAAATCCAACTTACCTGTCCATTAGGGTGGAACCGTACGGACTGTACGACAGCTTCGCTGGGCTGGTGCTGGTTGGCGTCCTTGAGCCGAGTCGTCTCGATTTGCCCCGGCGGCAGCCGCCGACCCATGGGTCGGTCCACCAGCCCACCCGCGCTTGCCAACAGCGCAGCCACCTCGGCTTCGTCCTCGTCTCCGACCTCGGCACTGCCGCCTACGGAGGCGGCGCTGCGCTTTTTTGCCCAGCTGGTCCGCGGATTCAGAGCCTGGTGCTGTTTTCGGAGCGCCGCTTCGTACTCCGCGCCTGCGGGGAAAAGTTCATTATCGACGGTCAATGCCGTTGTTGGGTTTGTAGCTCGACGTCTTGGGAGCTTGACCATCACCACCACCACCACTACCACTACCGCGCTGCGCGCTGCAAAGCGCACATTCATCATCCAGATCTCCATTCACCTTTCCCCGCTGTACCATACCGCCAATACAACTGTACCGTCCCCGTCGTCTGCTCCTCTCCATCTGCACCCACCCACCCGCCCACCTACCTTCCATAACGGTCTGCTTCTCACTCGTCCGCAGCTTCCGCAGGCGGTTGCGCGCCGCCACGTCCACACGCACAGTCTCGTCGTCGGGGTCAGCCCACACGGCCCCCGACCGACCCGCGGCCGGGGCGGAGGGGGGCTCAGGGGCCCCACCAGCGGATCCTGGTGCACCTGAGGGTGCAGAAATACACAAATACGCGTGCATTCAAATAATAGCGTGCTGTTGTAGATTCCAAGCGGGCCGCCTTGCGCCGGCTCGACTGCCACATGTCGCCGCCGGCCCTCTTTATAAGACGGTAGGCGGTGATAGCCCCGGGGTTCACGCGATTGAAGCTGCTGCCAGGGCAAGATAGTAGCAAACGTAAAAACTGATCGAAAGGCGTCCGTGGGTTCGGGGGGGAAGACGAACCAACCAGACGTGTGAAGCTGGTACCAGGAATAGATGGACGGATACTCTGCAGGAATAGCCAGATACTGAAGGGGATATGCATGCCGGGGAGAAAACATCACCCGCAGTAGCAGTAGCAGCAGCAGTAACAATAGCAGCAGTAGCAGTAGCACCGCCGTTGCCCGCCAGGTCGATGCGCGTCTTTGCTTTGGCGCCCCCACCGCCCCGCCGCCTCCTTGTGTTGCTACCCCCTCGGCCAGCATCCCCATGCCCATCCCCATCCCTCCCCTCCTCCTACTCCTCCATCGCCGCCGCACCGCTGCGGTAGGGCTTCTCCTCCTCCTCCTCCCCCTCGTCCTCCTCGTCCTCGTCGCCTCCGTCGTCATCTTCACTGTCGCTCAGCATTCCTTCAGACTGGCGCAACAGCAGTACGGCAGCAGTACGGCAATATGGATGTACAGCAGACGCTACCCGCGATGTGGTAAATGTCGATGGGGGATGTAGCAGTAGCGGTGGTAGTAGCAGTGGCAGTGGCAGTGCACACCGCTGCTGTATCCCTACTACGGGCTACTGCGGGTTGTACTATACCAGCGCAGAGAAGATCTTCATCTTGTGCGAGCCGTCGTACCTGGCTGGGTACGACGGGCCCATCCGCATTCGCATCCGCATCCGCACCCTCCGCGCCGCCACCGCCCGCGTCCATGGCATCACCGGGTTTCCCGTCACCATCCTCATCATTATCATCATCATCACTGCTGCTGCTGGCGATATCTCCTCTCGTATCTTCGAAGAAAAGCTCTGAATCGTGCAGCAAGCCGCCACGACGAGATGCCTGCAGACCGGGGTGCAGCAGCGGGACGCGGCAAAGACTTTAAGCTTACGACCGTAAATGTTAAGTTTGACCATAAGTACCGCGTACGACAAGGCTGGGTAGTGGAAAAAGCAGTTACAGTTATAGCAGTACGGCACACGACGCATGGCATGTAAGTACATGCACGGGTGAGCCATGCAGTTTGTACATTTCGATGGTGGAGTGGGTCCTTGGGACTCTGAACCAGCGACATGTGCAATGGGTTGGTGTGATGTGGAGAGCTGGGACATGAAGCGGCAAGCTGCGGGCTCCTGCTCTGAATAACGGCTACACTGTTCATGTTGGCTGTCACAGAAATCAAAGCTTCCCACCCAACCCTGCCTGGTAGTCTATCTCCATTCCCATACCAGTTTTCAATAAGCCCGTAATAAAATCCTACGTGCCGATACAGTATCTGTGCTAGCCATTTGATTTGGTTCGTGCAACATCCGCCCATGCGGGCATAGCCTCAGGCCGAAAAAGTGCCAGTGACAATTCATTATTGTTATACGTACTCTAAAAAGATATTTCAGAAAGTACGCATTGCGTGCTTCGTGGAACAGGATACACTCCGAAGGGAGGACAACCCACCTGTTTAACTAACTCGGCAACAGTTTCCTCGCCCTCCTCTTTTTCGCGATCGAAAATGCATGTCGGGTCTCCACCAGTTCCAAAAAGAAATTCCTCCAGTTCCGCAACCTACAAAGGCTTTTCGTTAGTCGGCGGCGGAAGCACCACAGTCCGGCGGCGCAAAAGCTGCGTTTGCCTTCCAATCCAATAAATTGAGGTCTTGCCTTGGCATTTGCATCCTCCTTGTACACAATTCGTTGCTTCTTGGCTTTACTCATCTCTCCCTAGAGGCTATGCTGCAATATCGATTGGCAGATGATCTCTTGCATCCTACGAGTTTGAAAATGCGATAATGTAATGTAAAGCTTGAAGTATGAAACCGCTGCCTTTCCATGTCGTGTACGGGATTCCTGCCAATTCTACTTCTTCTCCTCCTGTATTACTTTCATTGTGGTTCCTCCCTGTAAATCGCTTCAGTTATTAGTATCATATCATTTTCTCTCAAGCAACCAGGGAAAGTTGACTCTTCCCTATATCCTAGTTTTGTGTTAACTCTGCCCATGACGGGACGGAGGCAAGCAGATCATGGCTGTTTCTTTTGTTAAATTCCCATACCACGTTACTGCTGACGAATTCCGCGTCCAGGCTTACCGCCTAGGATATTGTGGAGTTCACTCTAGGTGTCCCGACAGCTAAGGCTGCTCGGATCTGTCCATGAATCAAGGTCCGCATGGTTACTTTCCAGGCATGCCATCGGGCTTGCCCATGGCTGGGCTGGAGCAACAAGTCTTGAGCGCACCTCAACCTCCGCCGATGCCTATGGGGCAGCTCATGGGGCAGCCCCAAAACATGGGAGCTCATAAGCTGATAGTCATGTCGCCGCCGGTGGGCTTGCCACAGGAGGGCGGATTCCAATCCCAGCCCGCGCAGCAGGTTTTCCCGGGCCAACAGCACCTACACGTGCCGCCACAGCAGCAGCAGTTGGATCAACTCGCCAACGCGGGAACCCCTTTTGCGCACCAGCAAGGACAATCTCAGCAAGTGTTTCAGCAGCAACTGCCGCAAATGCAACAACACCAGCAACAGCAGCAGCCCCTAACCGTCTACCAAAAACAAATGCTTGCAGAGCGCGCGGACCGCGTAGCTCGCCAGCAGCAGGAAAACCAACAACAACATCAACAAGAACAGCAGCAACAGCAGCAGGCAGCTGCCATCAGCGGTTCACACGCGCCTGGGCAGCTCGCACCCCCTCCCAACCAGGGGGGTTTCCAAGTCCAAGGACAACAGCCAGAAATACAAATAATGTTCATAGTGCCACCGCCACCGCCCCCCCCACCGCCACAGCCGTCGCCTCAGCAGCAGCAACAACAACAACAACAACAACAGCAGCAACAGCAACAACAACAGCAGTTCCAGGGTCCGTATCCGGGCCTACATCAGGGCGCCCAAAACGCAGGTGTGGATGCACCAAGCCTGGGAGATACTGGCCGGCATGATGCTTCAACACCCCACCAGTATTCAATCCAGCAGCAGCAACACCAACAACCACAGCAACATCAGCAGCAGCAACACCACCACCAGCAGCAACACCACCAGCAACAGCAACAGACCGACCCCTATCATAACCATGCCCAGCACTTCCATCAGCAACAACAACACCAGCAGCAACTTCCTCAGCAACACATGCTCATCGTCCCACCGCCGCCGCCACCGCCGCCACGGCGCGCCGCCGCACCCAACGAAGCTTCCGGCGCGCCGCCGCCGCCACCACCACCACCGCCGCCGCCGCCACCGCCGCCGGCGACAGAACAGCAGCCCGCGCACCTGCCTGAGGATCTGGAGCAACGAGCCTTCAACAACATGACGCCCGAGCAGCAAGCCCTGTACATGGAGCAATGGCAGCAATACTACGCCCACCAGCAGCAGCAATACTACGGACAGGGGCAGCCGGGCCCTCACGACTACTATTACCAGCAGCAACCGCAACCGGGTTATGGACAGGTGCGCAGATCTGTGTTCGCTGTTGGGCGTTTGGGGATGCCGGTCTAGGATATACGGGCGCTTTGGGATTGGGATTTCGCTGTGTTCACCTCGCGAGTTGAGTTCCCTTAAACACATACATACGTACGTACATACGTACATACATGCATACACATGTGCGCTTTGCCGCTGGTGCTGCTGCTCCTGTTGGTCCCCTCCGCAGTACGGCTACCAGGACCCCAACCAGTACTACGGCGGACAACAGGCGGCGTACGGCCCTGCGGCTGTGTACCCGCAGGATCCATACGGCCAGCAGCAGCAGCAGGCGGCGGCGGCCTATCAGGTGGTGGCGATATGGGCTATTGACGACTGCGCTAAGTGGGACGTAGCAGCAGCAGAGGAGGGCTGGGTGGGGAGAAGTGGGTACACGCTGGCACTCACTCACCCAGCACGGCGCAGCACGGCACGGCAACTGCACGGCACAGTACTGCACGGCACAGCGTTGCGCAGCACGGCAACAGCCCTCGTCTCTTCTCCTGGAGCGTTCACTCCTAGGTGTTACGTGACTGCACGGCACTGCACAGTACCCCACAGGGGGTGTCGGGGGATGGATCGAACATTCTAGGATTCTCGCAAACCCTCAACTGCCCGTACTGTACTGCACTGTACTGCAGGCCGCTAGCGCATACCCCCAGCCGGGTCAGCAGCAGCTGTACGGCGCTGCGGGGGCGGCAGGGTACCCCTCCGCCATGATGGCGACGGCGCTGCCACCACAGACTGCGTACGGCACACAACCCCAGCACCCGGGGGGGACGTTTGCTGTCCCGGGCCGCTTAGGTAAGGCGGTGCCGCTGCTGGCACTGCTTTGATGCTGCTAATGCTGATGCCCCTTTGCTGTCGCGCGGCCCTGCTCTTTGCCGTCCGGTTAAACAAAAGCGCCTCCCAACTTTGCCGTCAAGGTCCCGTTGCGCTACATGGCCACGTTTCCGCATATCCAGATGATGTCTGGTTTCCTTCATAAAAGCGCCATTACGTTGCATGGCCGCCTATTATCCTCAAGTTACTGGGACCCTCCGAAGGGCCTGGTGGCTGGTGGCTTCCAGAGCTCCATAACTGCCGCTACTAGAGAGAGAGGGAGAGGGAGGGGGGAGCGAGGCTCCAGCACATCCGCTCAGTGTGTACCGTAGTGTATCTTTCTGGCCTTCCAGACGCGTCGATAGAGGCGGATGCCGTTTCTGCTGTTCGAGAAGCGCTTTTTTCCATGATGCATGAAGCAGACGGCTTTTGAGGCACAGAGGCCCTTCAAGCTCAAAGCCCTGTGATGTTTTTACCTTAACTTTACCTGGTGTGTATTTCCAGATGTCATGTCAGGAGGCACCGCATCGGGAGCTGCGGGGCCCGTCACATCCCCGGCGGCCATTCCAGGTAGCAATGCTGCCGCTGCCGCCGCGGCTGCTGCTGCTGCTGCTGTGGCGACGGGGGCCGCGGCCGGCGGCGGCGCGAAGCGCATTCCCGAATGGCTCCGCGAGGAGATGCTGAAGCGGCAAATGGCGGCCACGGCCACGGCGGCGGCGGGTGAGAGGGGACTGAGGCAGTCGTCGCATGGGGGTGTGAGGGGAAGGAGGGGGGAAGGCGGAAATGTGGCGTAGGCACTGCATTGCCAACTGGGGGCCAGAGGCGGACTGGAGGAGCGTGTAAAGGCGAAGTAAAGCCACGTACCCAGTTCTCCTAGGAGGAGGTGTTGGTCCTAGGAGGATGGTTGTGGAGGCTTATTAGGGTTTGGAGGGCAGGGCGAGTAGGAGAGCGGGGGTGCTTGGGCGGGTGATCTGGGACAGGCTGGTCTTCCCTTTTGTGCGTGACACGCCTGCTGCACCAGAGCCCAGCACTTGCTGTATACTTTGCCTGCTACCCCACTGCTGTTTAGCAGCAGCAGCACCACCACCAGTAGCACCAGTAGCACCGGCACGGTGTTGTTTAGCCGTACAGCCAGGCGCTGCCAAACTTGTTAGACCACACGGCTACGGTGCTCTGTCAGTCAACACCAATTCTTGTGACGCGCTAGCTGCCGCACGCATTTTGTTACGTGTTTCTGGTGGTTCCTCCGAATGTGGTGATGTGGCAGGGGATTCTAAAAAGCGCGACGAAGATGAGGGTGATGATGATGATGATGATGATGATGATGATGAGCGGGATGGTGATGACGGTGGCCGTGGCGGCAAGAAGGCGGTCAGCAAGCCGCGCCGCTTCACGGAGGCGCCCGTGGATGCCCGAGTCGGCGGAGACGATGGCGCAAGTGGTCGGTGGGGCGCTAAGGCCCCCGCACATCCACGCAAGGAAATGCTGACTGACGAGTCGGAGGAGTCAGATGACGAGGAGGTGCGACTTGAACCCCCTCTCGCTTTTGAGAGACACACACACACATGCACTCTCTCCCTCTCCCTCTTCCCCCTGCGGGACCTGGTCTCCGGATGGAGAGGGGGGATAATAAGACGAACCACGCGAGCGAGTGAAGCTGCTGCCAAGAAGAAATTAGTGGTGCGACAGATGTACAGGACGGTAGCAGAACTGACTGGAGAAAAAGGGGGGTGATGGTGGGGGTGGTGGTGGTGGTATGCCGGGGTGTAGGGGCGTTGCGTGAGGGCCTCTTGAGGGCCTCTTGAGGGGGAGTCCTAGTCGTGAATCAAGGAGGGTCCTGGGCTGGTGCTTTTACCGCCCCCCTCCCTCACACTTACGCCCTCTCCCCCCCTTCCTCCCACCTCCCACCTCACTAACTCCCCCCCCCACACACACTAACTCCCGCAATTCCTCCTCATCCTCTCACTTCTTAGCCCCCCTCAGCCCCCCCCCAACCCCTTAACCCTCACACCGGGTGTCGTTTCCTCCCCTCACCTCCCCCATCCCCTCACCCCTTTTAACCCTCACTCCTCCCCCTCCTAGGAGGCCCGCATGCGTCAGGAGGTGGTCAACCGGGAGATCAAACTCAACCTGACGCAAATCCTTGTGGAGGTGACGGACGCGCTGTTTGGTGCGTAGGGAGGGGAGGGGAGGGGGAAATCATGTGATGCAAGAAACTCAATAGAAATGAAGTGAACTGCCTGCCGGCGCCCAAAGTCCGAAACTGCCCCTAGTGAGTCCAATACGACGAAGTTATCAGCCCCTGGTCCCGGAAGTAAAGCGCCATTAGGGCGGGAGGGGGAGAGAGGGGGAAAAGACGAGCCACGAACGAATGAAGCTGATGCAGAGAGGTGGGAGGGGGCCCCTGTGGAGTGCTGAGAGGGGACGAGGAGGAGAGGAGGGGTCACTGCGCGATTGATGGGAGGCGTACGAGGGCGGGCTCTGGTTGCTATATGTTCTATAGGTTGGGACTGGGGTCATGTGCACACGCCTGCCTGCTGGGGGGTGACCTACCTCCTCTCCAGTCGTGTTCGCACGTCTCAAATGCCCGAATGCCAATCAACCAAGCCTTGCGCCGCCCGGTGGAGGGTGTTATTTCCTTCCTTCCCTCCTTCCCCTAACAACAACAACATCTTACAGCTACGCCACCGTCCCCCCGCTCCTCCTTCACCTCACTCGCAGAGGAGGTCGCCCGGGAGGTGTACTCGGAAACCATCTCCTCACGCAAGTCCAAGTCCGCCCAGCTGGGTGCCGTCAAGCTGGACGCGCAGGGTGCGGCGGCGCTTGGTGCCGTACTCGGCAGCGGCGGCGATGATGACGATGACGAGGGCGGCGGCGCCGGCGCCGGCCTGTTGGGCCTCGGCTACGGCTCTGACGAGGAAGCGAATGACGACCGGCCCGTCACGACAACCCCCGCGGGTAACGCCCTGACGGGGGCGACGGCGGCCGTGAAGGAGGACGACGGGGAGGACGGCGAGCGGGTGCAGGATGGAGCGGGTGGGGGTGCGGGCGTCAGTGCGGAGAGCGGGAGGGAGGTCAAGGAGGAGGACGGAGCTGTCAAGGACCGGGACGCGGAAATAAGCGGTGCTGCCGGTAGTCGTGAGTTGCAGCAAGCGCCTAAGGAGGGGAGCGAAGGGGCAGAGCAGCAGGTGAGGTGAGGGAGGGGCTGAACTGGGCGGTTGAGAAAGCATGCGCACATACATACACACTGGGGGCCCGTTTGCCCGAGCCGGGGTTGGGGGGGCAAAACGGTAGGATGAATGGAGGAGGAGAGGAGGAGGAAGAGGACGACAGGGCGGTGGTGGTTGTGGTGGCGGTGGTGAACGAGCCGATGGAAGTTAGGCTTGCGTGTGGTCAAACAAGGATTGCTGGTAAGGGATAACCTTTTGGTTGGTTGGCTGCTAGAGAGGAGGGGAGGGGAGGGGAGAGGAGGAAAGGTAGGAAAGGTGAGCGACAGCTATCTGGCAGTGGCTGATTCCCGCTAAAGTCCGGGAGTGGGGTCCGTTGCATTTCGAGTACATCCCGAGCAATGGCCACGTCGGGATGCGTGTATTCATGTGGGCGATGTGGATGGGAGTGTGCAGTGCGGTGGCATCTGCTGGGGTGTGTGTCCCATCAGGCCCGCCGCAGTTAGCTGTGTTTGCTCTGGA